TCATAAATGCTGCAGGTGTGTTTAATTTTTAGTAAAGCCAAAATGTCAGTAGACAAGATAGCATATAATTTAAGCAAGAGTTGTATAAGATGATTGTTCTCTTGATAGGCAATCTACGAGTACTTTCCTGAGTTCAATAAAGTTGAATCTAATTCTTTTTATAAATGGGGAAAAAATAAATTCTAGGTTTGCTTGTTTAAATATTACAAGCAGAGGTTGCATTTTAGTATTAAATATGTGATTATAAACCTGAATTAAGTTCAATTAGCAAAGGTGAATTTGATGAAATGGATTTGACTTCTGGTGTGTTTTATTTTTTAGACGTCGTAGTAACAATTCAATCTGTATAAAATAAATAACAAGAATGCATACAAACATTTAGCACGTGTAAATAAATACTTGTGTATTGCACTTAATTTATTTCTATGATCTATGCTCACTTAACCGCATGATATTACCACTGAATAATTACTTTATAGTGCCTGCATGATTATGTATCCTTTCACATACTTATGTATCTGTCATAATAAATGAAATGAAATCAAACTCTATAGCTACGTACTCGTAAGATACTCTTTCGTATTCAAAACGAATAAGGATTTATTTGTAACACACATGCTATATTTGTTCTCACTAATTCTAACCGGATTAAACTAACTGCTTTCTTTCATAAGCATCATTTAAACACACTTGTTCAATACGTGATAGCCAAAGGGACAAAACTAAGTCACTAGACCTAGTCTAGCAATATGAGCAGGGTGTCAAATTATCACCTTTGCTAATTGAACTTAACTCATAATGTTAATACTGTATCGTATTCACTACCAAAAAATTCAACCTCTGCTTGTAATATTTAAGCAAGCAAACCTAGAACTGATTATTTTCCGTTATTTTCCCATTCATAAAAAAAAAACTAGATTCAACTTAATTAACCTTAGAAAAGTACTCATAAATTGCCTATTAAGATCGAGAACATTCATTTTATATAACTCTTGCTTGAAATATATGCTATATATCTTGTCTACTGACATTTACTAATAATTAAACACAGCATTTATGACTGTATTTTCTAAATGACCATGACATTGCTTTTCTAGTCGTTTTATACCATTAATCCAACGTGTTACACACGATATTCGATGCTGCGCATGCTACGTACGTAGTAGCTGTTCCCGCTTCGATCAGACATGAATATTCCAGAGAATCTATACTTTCCCCGACCCTGCGTAATGAATATTCATTAAATGATAGGAATCTGGCCTCGCCGTGGTACGAAAAAATAAGACGCCAGCCGGCACGTGTCCCCTCCCCTTTTCAAAAGAGAGAAGCAAACAAAAAACAAGAAAAGAATAAAGTAAAATAAACACACAAACAATTTTCCTAGGTGTGGGTTATAGAGCAGGGCTTCTCAAAGTCCGAACTGCCTGGGAGTCACAGAACCTCCAATTGCCTTAATTTCAGGAAATTAAAGAATGTTGATAGTGTCATGGAAATTTGAAGAAATTCAGTGAAGGATTAATCCTTTTTATCCAACTCGATTCCATTCTTGGCAAGAAGTGCGTTCAAACTCAATAATGCGGGTATCATTGTGTCCAGTAATGTCCGGCGTGTCCTGATACTGCTGAATGAGATGGAATGCCTAATCTGAAGGCGCTTTGTTTGTGCTCTTTATAATATGACTTTGTGCTCTGCCCCTGGACCCAACTCGTTGGCTTCGACCCCCCCCCCCCCCCCTTTGAAAAATCCTGGATCCGCTGCTGAGAAATGTGGAGTTTTACCCCTCTCCTCTTAACTGAGTATTAATTGTTGTTCGCAAAATTCAAAGTGTATGATAATGGTACTTTGCGACAATTCGTATTACATTGGTCCCTCCATAGCAATTTATTCATCCAAATAAAACAATCCACGCAAGAGGCATTATGAAAGTTTTAAGAAAATTGAAACAAAAGTGAGCACTGGTTGAGTCGTGCCCGGCTTTCCAGCAATCATAATTATGATTGTACATTGTTCTACTTAAGCTGAATTGCTTTTATCACTCATGCGTGAAATATGAATCATATGAGTTGCATTAATAAATGAAAGAGGAGGATCTGAGCTTTACAAATATGTGTTGTTTATTAAATTTTAATTGTGATAAAACATCGATAATTCTCGGGTTCGTTTTTGGGGGACTCACTGTATAGTACACAAGGATCAAGTGAGAATACCGACACAGCTTACCCGACATAGCAACATATTTATGCGTATCTTTCTTGCTGCGTCGACGAGTCGACGAGAAGACTCCACCCAACAACCATGCTCTTAACCCCCCTCTCTCTCTCTCTCTCTCTCGTTAACCCCCCCCCCCCCGTTTCTTGTGTTTAATTTTCTCTTATTTTTTTCTTTTTCTTCTTTTCTTTCTTTCTTTCCTTTTCTTTCTTTTTTCCTCTCCTTTCTCCTTTTATTTTTCTCTTTCCTCTTTTTGTTTTGTTTTGTAGGGACTTAAAGGTACTATGTCCCTTTTGCAGGCCAAAAAATGAAAAGGTTAAATTCCAATGGCATTTGAAAGATAATACTAATTTAGAACTCCCCTTAAAAGAATGGGGCTTGAAAATGTCTTTAAGTGGGAAAATAACGACTATTAGTTGTCAAATCGACTTAGGAGCTATAGAGCCAAAAAGTAATAGTCTTGATTTTCAGACCATTGTACCGCATGGTCGTACGTTTTATGCTGCGCAAAGATTCAATCAGTTTAATTTTGGCCATTACAAGAAGTGGGTTATTGTATTAGACAAATCCTTTACTGCTCATTTTATGTATGTTATTACCAAAGAAGAAGAAAAAGCCAGTCAGTCACTCAATACTGACAATAGTGTCTGACAGTGAAGTCTAGCAAGTAAACGGGTTTTCTTGCATAATTTGAATATAAGGACACCGGTAACGTTTAAATTTCACAGATAGGATATACATGACATATTGATAACTCCTGCAAAGTTCTACAGAATTTGAGGTTGGCTGCAAAAGGGACATAGTATCTTTAAGTTATATACCATATTCAAGCTTTTTGTAAACATACGATATTGCACGATAAATTAAGTTAAGAAGTTAGAATTTTTAGATTTTAAGCCAAAATATGAAACGATATTGTGACCGTTAGGCGTTATGCGAACGGTGGCGGTCCCTATAATTTTTTTTAAAGTATGTTTTAGATTTGATCTTTGATAATAATGTAGAGACATAACCATAACCTAGCTAATATATTTGCCCCGCCCCTGTGGTGACGAAAAATAAAGTAAAACGTAACACACATATTATAATCCTATCGTAATTTGTCCCCCGTGTGGGAAATCTTGCCTCGCCAGGCAACCACCCTTCCTCCGATTGATCCCATCCTTGCTACGCCACTGAGTGGCTTCGATGACGAGAAAGGCCTATCCTTGATTGTTAGAGTAATTTAAATTTAGATCTAGCGCTAAGTAATAATTTAACACGGCAATTTCATAAGCTGATATTATATTAGAGCGTTTTAGAGGTGTAAAGATCGATGATAAATTCTCAACCGTAAAATCTTAAGAAATGAGTCCCTATAATAATATAGTGGCTTCGATGACGAGAAAGGCCTATCCTTGTTTGATAGAGTAATTGTAACTTAGTGCTAAATAACAGTTTTTCACAGCAATTTGATAAGCTGATATTTGTAGATCTGTAATAAATTTGCTAAAGGTAGATAATGTTAGAGCTGAAATGAAACATTTGCAAGCCTATGCCTATACACGTACACCATGCATGCTGATATAGGCAAGGATTGTACTCTTACAGCATAGGTCGTACATTTTGCGAAGGAGAAATTAGTAGGCCTACTTGGATATTATTGTACTCTGGTGTAGTGGTCGGGGCTTGCCCCCCCCCCCCCCCTCCCCAGAAAACAAATACACACCCGAAAAGGAGGTAAAGAAAAGTGCAAATAAAGGAAGAAGGAATTCAAGCCAATATTTCGGTACGGTTTGTGTGGCGTTCTATGGCATATGTGGAATTTCTTTCCATATATTACTTGAATGAAAGAAATACGTGTTTTAATAACATTTTCTTAGTTTTATAGGAGGGGCCATTTTTTCTCTCATATGTCAACCAGCTTCCTTTACTTTATAGGTTTATACAATACGGAATTTCTTCCACAAGGGAAGGGAGACAATACTGCAAGCAGGCAGGGATAGGAATCGGGAATGGGATCGGGGGGGGGGGGGTGGGGGCAGGGCTAACGAGAACTTTTAATTAAAAAAAGATCAAGAGGCTTCGAAGTGTCCTAGAAGCTAAAATTCGAATTTAGAAAATCATTTCACTCCGTTGCTACCCTCTATCCAATAATATAAACTTAAACTTTAAAAATATTATAGAAAAACTGTAAGCCATAATTTGCAGAGATTCAATCTTGCCATTTCAAGAGCTGTGGATGAATGCTGGGGTCAGTTTTTCTTTACCTGGAAAGTGTTCAAAAATGTCACACCGCCCTCACAACCCCCCCCCCCCCAAAAAAAAAAAAATAAATAAATAAATAAATAAATAAATTAAATAAATAAATAAATAAATAAATAAATAAATAAATAAATAAATAAATAAATAAAAATGGAATTTTATCAAAGATGTTCAAATGTTTATTTGAAATAACGCTACCTCTCCCGGTTAAGAGAATGGGTGAATAGTATTGTTTGGATATATGATCAGCCTGCTCGAAAATGCAGAGATGCAGACTACAAAGCTCCAAAGATTTTATCAGCTCGCACGCTACGCGACCGCGTACAATAAACCACATCATTTACCGAAGGCGTCGCGAGAATGGAAAGGTATCATGTGAATTTCAATGTCTTCTTATTGATACCCGAGTTGTGTTATTGTGTTCCTATTGTACGGTATGGTATGGTTCCTCAAAAATTTGGGGCATTACCCCCACTAATGCCATGTAGTGCGTTTATTGATTCTTTTGATTTTTTACTTCATCAGTTTATTTGCTTGTATCTCCTCAGGTATCTTCATCATCCTTTCAATGGCATGCTGTCTCTCTTCTGCCCAAGCATCACTTGAGAATGATGACATCCCAAGCTTGATCATGATGTCATTTTGGAATGATTGGATAGGAGAGAACATTCTACCATCAATCAGAGATGGAGAGGCATCTAACGGTTCACAATGTTTCCAGGAACTTGAGAAAATATTCACAGAAGGCGGAAAGAAGCGAAATATAAGTAAGTTTGACATTGGGAAGAAATTCGAAATTGATAATTATTACGTTTCGCTTCCTTTAACTTTCTTGTTCGCTCCATTCCAATTTGGTTTCTAGTTTGGTGTAATACATTTCATTCCTATAATCCCAAATTCGATTTAATTGTCACTATTATCGTGTTTCATTGTCTTCTAGTTGTAGATGCGACTGGTAAACCATCTTCTGGTACACTTGAGATTTCTATTTAAAAAAACACCATCTTACTTGTTTTTATATCCTCCAATCCAAATCGCATGTGTCTTCTGTATATTAACTTTTAAACCAGACATTGCATTGTATTTATCTAAAATGTTTAATGCACTGTTTAATTCCATTACTGACCCGTTCAATGTTTCATTCGTTTCATTTCATTTCGTTTATTTCCATTTCCAACAAAATAAATAAAGTACATGGGATTGCATTGTACATAGTAAAACAATGAAACTTAACAACATATTTGTAATTGGTCCACAGTGTATAATAGGCATATAAAACAGGTTGGTCATGGAGGGGACTGCTGAAAAGCTGGGCTTGTAGATTGCAGCCCCCTATAACTTATAGTTGCAAAAATAGTATATCAACAATAAAGGAACGCACAAATACATAAACCAATTAAACATAACATAGAAGGAGTGAAAGGGACAGGGAAAGAAGGGAGACAACGAGAGAGGGCAGGGCTCTTACCTATAACACACATAACACAACACGGGCCGACAGGGATACGGATGGCCAGTACAAAATGAATCAAAATTTCCAAATGTATTTTATTGAGTTAAATAAATTTAAAGAGAGAGAGCTAACGGTTGATAATTACGCAAAAAATATTTTTTTAATTTGAATTTAAAAGAATTTAAACTGGGGGCATTCTTGATGCTAACATCAAGAATGGTACATAGCTTCGGCCTGCGTAAGTGAATATGGATTTAGCATGTAAAGTTCTAGTTAATGGCAGATGAAATTCGTCAGATTGGCGCGTAGGGTATTTGTGTATAGTTTTATTTTTGATGAATATTAAATTGAAGGCTGATGGTAGCGTATTATTATTTAACTGGTACATAAACTGACCGAGGCTATAACGATATAAATCATTTATTTTCAACACATTATTTTCAACAAATAAAACGTCAGTATGGGATCTCCAGGAAGTGTTACAAATAACACGCATAGCTTTTTTTGTAGAAGTAGTATTCTATGAAGATAAGAATCGTATGTATTACCCCAAACAATTATACCATAATTTAAGTAGGGCAAAATTAATGTCGAGTAAAGCATTAGTAGGGAGGAGGTTGGCAGAAAAAACTTAACCTTATTTACAATCCCTATGTTGCGAGAGATTGTTCGGCAAATGCTATCAATATGACATTTCCATGAGAGTTTATCGTCTATTATCAGACCTAAAAATTTCATTGACGTGACGGCTTCTATGTCAGTATTATCTAGTTTAACATTATGTGGTAAGTTCCCTATAGAATTGCTGAAGAGCATACATTTTGTTTTTTGTAAATTTAATGATAACTTATTAGCTCTTATCCATTGTAACAATTTGTCTAATTCAATATTTAGTGTATTGACCAAAAAATCAGGATCTGCATGTGAGAAGAGCACATTCGAATCATCTGCAAATAAGAGGAAGGAAAGGATATTAGAGGAATTTCGGATATTTAGAAGAGTATCATCTGCATATAAAAGACCTAGTATTTCGGCGCATAATAGACGATAATAGAAAGATAAGAGCTGACAGGGGATCTCCTTGATGACATCCTCGCTCTATTGAAAATCTTGGAGACAGATGTCCATTGATTAATACACAGGATTGAGCATTTTCATAGAATACATTAACCCATGTTACAATAGAGGGACCAAACTTAAAAAAGTGCAATACTTTTGTAATAAAATCATGAGAAATAGAATCAAATTCTTTTTCAAAATCTATAAGCAGCAATAAACCAGGATGATTTTTCATAACTTAATCACATTTCTAGAAAGTTCACTTCTGCTCTTTCATATGACACCTCAATCAGGAAAAATTAGCTAGTTTTACAGGCCTATTAATGTATCGGTGTTTTAACATGATATCTATTATACGAAAAACTTACTGGGACGTCCGGTGTTCAGGCTACTTTTGGACAGACTAGCCTGGCTAAAGGTATAAGATGATTAATGAATTCAAATTGTCTGGCTTTAATTTCTCTTTCTAGTTGTAGATGCGACTGGTAAACCATCTTCTGGTATCCTGGAGGGTAACATTGCTTGGTTAGGTGACTACAGACAGTGTATAGATACAACAGATCTTCACTATTGTCTCATTTCAGCACCAATACAAGTACAGTCAGTCAGCGATCGGGTAGGAAAATAATATTGACCATACCTTTCGGATATCATCGACATTATTGTTTGTTTGTTTTTGTGTCTGAATTTTATTTCTGTGTTCAATAACGTTATTCAAAATCATCAAATATTAAAGAAATATATATAAACACATTTTCAGACATTACCATAAAAAAATCCTCTGGACGGCCATGCATTATGGCTCAAGGCATGGCACACAGATGATATTTTTTAAATTGGGAACCGGGGTAACATGCAATAAATTATTGAAAATTTATTGCATTTTCTGTTTTTTTTAATTTATGGAAACTGCCCCCTACCCTAGCCCCCGCCGCGTACAGTCATGGTTCAGTGACAAAGCAATGACCTCGTAACGGTGAGGCCCCAGGATCAAAACCGTGTCGATGTGCTATATATTAGCAGTGGCGGATCCAGGGGTGGGCCGAAACGGCCGCGGCCCCCCCCCCCCCCCTATTGGCGAAGCAAAAAAAATTGAGAAGGAAAAAAGAGAAAGAAAAAAAGAAGGAAAAAAACGGGGGAAAAAGGAGAAGATAAAAGAAAAGAGAACAAAAAAGTAAAGAAAAGAGAGAGAGAGTTCAAAAAAGAGGAAAGAAAAAGAAGAGAGGAGCCGGGGAGAAAGAAAGACAACGAAATGGCACTAAAAATTAGTGACAGTAACGACGAATAAGGGAAAGACAAGGGGAAGGGGGGGGTGCGTGAAGGCGGATGCATTGAGGGGAGGGGGGGAGGGGTGACTGGCCGTATTCTTATTTTTAGATTATGCGAAACTGAGTCGAAATTATGCTTCTTTTCAAAACAATCTTAGCATGCTTGTTTATGTTAAGCCGGAGTGCATGAAAAGGTTAGTGTAGAAACACTTCTGAAAAGGCCGCACCCGGCCCCTCCAAAGAACGGCAGAATGGTAATCTATAAATTATGGGGTCATTCTTGATGGCTTTGGAGTCGTTATGAAGGAGGGGGCCGGCCCTACTCAAATGGTAGTGACCGTAACGATGGATAAGGGAATAAGGAGGAAGGGATGCACATGCAGGCGCGTACGCAGGGGGGGGGGGGGGGGGGGGGGGAGGGGGGAGGGGGGGAGGGGGGGGAGGGGGGGTCGAACCCCCCTCAAATTTTTGTCAAGTTGTCAAGTTGGTCCTGATGTGTATAATGCGTAGACCAGGGATTCTCAAACTTTTTCTTTGACGGTCCAGAAGCGATTTCTATGAAAGCTGTAAGGTCCGAAATGACACTTGTATACTGAAGATAATGAGGCTTGTTTTTGGTCTATATCTGATCCAAGGAGAATTGTTACAGTTTAAAAAATCAGAACCGCCAGTGCTTCCACTCGTTTAAATAGAGTTTCCTGAAAAAGAACACCCAATATCCTGGAATTTGAAAGAATTTTCTTAAAACTTTCAAAATGCCTCTTACTTGGATTTCTTATTTGGATGAATCGCTATGAGTTTAGATCCGTACAATATGGCACAGCTTTAGGGGCCTGGGAGAGCCCCCACCGGGGGTTCCGGGGCGGAGCCCCAGGATGCTCTCGAGTTAATTTGACTTTAAAGAGCAAGTGTTTCTAAGATATAAAGAGAAATTATTTCTTCAATGAAGTGAAAGAACTCTTGAAAATGAAATAGCCCTTTCATTTCATTTTAGAAATAAACTCTTATCCATCCCTTGATATTTAAATTGCACTGCTCCTACTTCGTGCTTTTTTCACACTCTCCCTGATCTATAAAGGGTGTTTTCTCTATTTGATCATCAACAGAAGCAAAATGCTAGGCCACGAACTTTTCGAAGCGTGACCAGATTCTAAGTATGCTTAAATGGGGGCATTGATGTATGTAGAAAAAACAGGATTAAGATCCCATGCAACGCTTCGAAATTTAAAAGAAGAATAAGAAAAATAAAGTTGAGATTTCACCTTTATGTCTAGACGTTGCATAATGCAATTCGTTTTGGTATTATTTTTAATTCCATCTCAGAGTGATTATTTCTTAAATGAAGTGAAAGGACTCTTGAAGATAAAATAGCCCTTTTAGTTTCATTTCATTTTAGAAATAAACTCTAATCCATCCTTTGATATTTAAACTGCACTACTCCTACTGTGTGCCTTTTCACACTCTCCCTGATCTATAAAGACTGCTTTCTTTATTTGATCATCAACAGAAGCGAAAGGCTAGGCCACGAACTTTTCGAAGCGTGACCAGATTCCAAGTATGCTTAAATGGGGGCATTAATGTATGTAGAAAAAAAAACAGGATTAAGATCCCATGCAACGCTTCGAAATTTAAAAGAAGAATAAGAAAAATAAAGTTGAGATTCAACCTTTATGTCTAGACGTTGCAAAATGCAATTCGTTTTGGTATTTTATTCCATCTCAGAATGATTATAGAAGTTATTTTTTAAGGATAATAAAGATAAAGCTGTCCGGGTTTTTAAAGATAATGCGTCAAAACAAATCGAACAAGCTGTTTATTTCTTTATTCATGGTCTTTTTCTACTGTTTATCTATTTTCATTGCCAACCCTCGAAAACGAATTTAGTATGCATTTCACAGAGGAAGTTTGCATAGGAGAACTATATATATATATATATACAAATTATTTATTGGGCTTTAGGGGCCTGGAAGAGCCCCTACCAGGGGTTCCAGGGCGGAGCCCCAGGATGCTTTCGAGTTTATTTGACTTTCAAGAGAAAGTGTCTCTAAGATATAAAGAGAGGTTATTTCTTCAATGAAGTGAAAGGACTCATGAAAATAAAATAGCCCTTTCATTTCATTTTAGAAATAAACTCTAATCCATCCCTTGATATTTAAATTGCACTGCTCCTACTTCGTGCTTTGTTCACACTCTCCTTGATCTATAAAGGGTGCTTTCTCTATTTGATCATCAACAGAAGCAAAATGCTAGGCCACGAACTTTTCGAAGCGTGACTAGATTCAAAGTATGCTTAAATGGGGGCATTGATGTATGTAGAAAAAAAGGATTAAGATCCCATGTAACGCTTCGAAATGTAAAGAAGAATGAGAAAACTAAAGTTGAGATTCGACCGTTATGTCTAGACGTTGCTTAATGCATTTCGTATTGGTATTATCTCCCGTCTGACAGTGATTAGAGACGTTATTTATATGGATAATAAAGATAAAGCTGTCCGGGTCTTTGAATATAATGCTTCAAAACAAATCGAACAAGCTGTTTATTTCTTTATTCATGGTCTGTTTTTACTGTTTATCTTTTTTCCTTGCCAATCCTCGAAAACGAATGTATTATGCATTTCACAGAGGAAAGTTTGCATATTGATGAAACATATGGGCGCAGGCCAAGATTTAAACCCACTCAAGACTGTGAATTTGGCGCATCTTCACTCATCTTCTTCAACTAGGAAATGGACTTCTTTGTAGCCTTAGGACAGGATGGTGAAATAAAATTGATAAAAGAACATCATAATCAGATTATCCGACCCCGGAAACCCCATGAATTCATCAACTTTTATCATACTGGTCCTTTTCCTTTTGAAACTACGCTTGACCTTTAACTCGGATGGCGGCCATTTTTATTTGGCCAATATGGCTAGCATGACAGCCCCAAGGAGACCTGCAATATTGATACAAGCAACATCATAATCAGATTCTCTGACCCAGAAAACCCCCTTACTATATTATTTTTTTTATCATTTTAGCTCTTTTCCTTTTGGAACTACTATTGATCTGTAACTATCAAATGGAGGCCATTTTGGATTTGACCAATATTACCAGTATGACCCGAGGAGATCTCAAATCGATGAAAGAATATCATAATCAGATTCTCTGACCCCGAAAACCCCATAAATATATAAACTTTTATCATACTATCCCATTTTCTTTCGTAACTACACTTGACCTGTAACTATCAGATGGCGGCCATTTTGGATTTGACCAATATGACCAGTATGGCAGCCCCAAGGAGATCTTAAATTGATGAAAGAATATCATAATCAGATTCTCTGACCCCCAAAATCCCATAAATATATAAACTATTATCATACAACCGCTTTTCCTTTTGGAACTACGCTTGACCTTTAACTCAGATGGCGGCCATTTTGGATTTGCCCAATATGGCATACCCAGAGGGTACCCTTCTTGGCGTCCGGAAGAAATCGTAAAAGTATGGTATAATCTACCTCTGGGCCAAATTTGGTGCTTTTAGAAGAATCTGCACCAAACAACCCCTATTTAGCCCTAACAGCCTCCACTATATTGACTATGTATATGTGTGGACTAGAGTACGGACATTCGGTGCGGCAGGCGGACTATTGGTGCGAGACCTCTTCCGCACGGATTGTCCGTCAGACATTTGAGGCGCGCACGGAATGTCCGACAGGGACATTCTGCGCGGATAAAATCCGCACCGATCGTCCGCTCTCGATCGATCTCTAATAGTCGGACGATCGGTGCGGGTTACATTCTACGCGGTCACACCGGCCATACGTAAATGGCAGTGACGGTAACGACGAATTAGGAGGAAGGGGTGCATTGGGGATGATCATACTATCATTTTAGAGTGTGCAATCTGGGTCAGAATCCAGCATAATATATTTATAAAAAAAGAGGTTCACATAAAAGCACTCATGATAAAGCCGCGCCCGGCCCCTACAACATCATTTTGGATTTTCAGATGATGGGGCGGGTGGCAGGGGTAGGGGGCAAAGTTCGCCCCACTCTTCAAGTACCCCCCCCCCCCCCAAAGGGCCACTTTTACTTTGTAAAGAAGTGCCCCTTCCCCTTTTTAACTCGGATAAGCGCACATTTCATCAACACATGTGCCCCCTTTCCTATCTGATAAGGGCTATTTAGAAAAATGAGGCCCTTCATAAATAAAAAGTGTCCCTTTTCATCTCTGGTAAATGACCATTTTCATATATATGAAGTTAATTCGTTTCACTTCAGTGCGCTCTTCACCTCCGATAATTGCCCCTATTCGAATCTGAGAGATGCTCATTTTACCCCTTCCCCTCCTGATAAGTACTCTTTTCATCTATGATGGGTGCCCATTTTCACCTTTGCTAACTGCCCTTTAATTTTGAATCGTGCCCCTTTTCCTTTCTATATAGGAACTTATCCCCTTTTCATAAATGCCCCTTTTCACCTCTGATAAATCAATTTCGGATGGATGCCCCTTTTCCGTCGACAAATGCCCATTTCCCATACTCATAAGTGCCCTATCTCATTTCTGGTGAGTGCCTCCTTTCAGGTGTAAGAAGTGCCCAGTTTGAACCTTTGATAATTACTCTTTGTACCTTGACACATGCTCCTTTTCTTTTCTAATAAGTGTCTTTATCCCTTTCGATATGTGTCCCTTTAACCTCTCATCATCGGGGGGGGGCACGGGGGGGGGGCACGTACCCCCTAACCTGCTCATCATTAGTCTTGCACCTAATTTAAAGCGACTAAGAGTAATTTCCCCTAAAGCTCGCTCGCTCGCATTTATAGATGATACAATTATGTGTCACTTTAAAACAAATGTTTTTTCAGTCTTCCGTGATGCTTATAACCCCATCATGATTTGTTTTTTTTTCCTCTTTATAAGATGTAATTTTTCACTCTACGACCTCACAGATCTTACATTTTTTTTCTCGCTCGCTTTGCTCGCTCGCAAATGAATATTCAGACAATCACACTTAGCCGAAACTGTGATGCTTAAGCAATAACTTGTATGATATATAAAGAAAAACAAATATTGAAATCGTCCCTGATAATGGGATCACAATGAAAGGGTATTATACCAATGTCTACAAAAATGTATATTTTCGCTTTGAGATTTCGCTTTGTAGGTGCCCTTTGTTGTTGGTGCTTTCCACTTTGGAAATAGCTCCTCCGCCCCTGCTTACGCATTAGCGCCAGCGTTAATTTCACGCTTGCGCGCACAGGGTGTGTGTGTGTGTGGGGGGGGGGTTCCTCTCTAGCTCTGAAGCTGATTTTTTTTTTTTACCTAGATTCGTGCGATTCGGTTAATACTTTTAGAGGGAGTCTGAGGGGTGATGTGCCCCCCTCTGAAGCTGACATTTTTTGGATTTTTGAAACTGGATTCGTGCGTTTTGGTTAACAGTTTTTTGGGGAGTCTGATTTGATTTCAAAAGTTAATGCGTGATGGTGTTGCAGCCTCTCTTTCCCCGAAAATTTAAAAATTACCAATATGCATTTGTTATATCTTATCTCGTATATTTTGGTGATAATTAACACTTTTCACAACATACATAAGCTCAAATTTCCGCTCACTCGCCAAATTATTAAACCAGGAAATAGATATTGGGGCAAGAGGCTTCAGCCCCCACTGATAGAAATGTCAAAAAAAATTGCGCGCGAGCATAACTTGAAAACGGGGAATGTTGATATCGGACAAGAGATGTGACGTGAGCATGTCCCCTTTCCAAAATAATTGTGCCCGTTTGTAGGTACCAATACACTATTAAAGTACAGTGCTTCTAATATGACCTTGTCAGTATTGGTAAGTTTATATAACGGTCTGCGCGAATTTCGAATTTCCGCCCCCCCCCCTATTGGAAAATCCTGGATCCGCGCCTGTATTAGTGCCCTTTTGTGGGGCATTAATCCTCATTACTATCATTTATGACTTAAGGGCGTAGGTCCCCTAGTTGATAAGCATAGTAGCATACACATGCTTTAGCAGTCACGCAAAACACACATTGTCAACTTATTATTCAATACAATCTGAGAATGTATACTATTGTCTAGATCTTTTATTTTTAAATTATTTTTAAAATAATTCCATAAATTTGGGTAAAACAAAAATATTCAAACTTTATGAGCGACAGTGTATATTTGTACACAAATCACGAAAATTAGCGATTTTCGGGCTGATATACAAAGACAAAAGGTCACGTAATCTTTTAACTGTACGTCCGATTTTCCAAAAAATTGTTTTAAAAGATGCGCAAGACTCGGGAGAAAAAAGTCAGCGAGGGGCGGGGCATGGCGCCCGTATGCGTTCCCGAACAATCAGAAAAATCACAGAGGGGGCAATAATGCCGCCCCGGCCTTATTAGGGTTAAGGGCCATGGTGTCTTACTGTATACAACATTATACTCTTTTCGATTTTAATTTTTGAATATTATTCCAATATACTCTATTACGTTTATGACCTACACGAGTTATTTCGTGGAATATTATTTTGATAAATCAGTATCTTTGACTTGTTAGGTTCCGAGGTGTTCTTTAATCAACTTGCACTTTTTAATATTTTTTCTGTTGGTAGGAACCAATCATCAATTCTATAGACCCGCTTAATATTGAACGCCTCTCTTTTCATTCTTTTCTTAGAACGTAAACTCAATGCACAACTCCATAGATCAATTTTTAGCTTATGCCATGCCGTGGCGTCCGTCGTCCGTCCTTCCGTCCGTCCACAATTTTCAAAATGCTTCTTCTTCGTTATTTTTCAACCGATTTTGATTCTGCTTGTTTCATATGATAGGGCTAGGAGGGGGATTTAAAACTTCTACACAGAATTGTGAAATTCATTATCTATGCTAATTTATGCAAATTTATTCAAAATCACAAAAAATGCTTCTTCTCCTTCATTTCTCGACCGATTTCAATTTGGTTTGCTTTATTTGGTAGAGCTAACAACATTGGTACACTAAACTTCTACACAGAATTTTGAGATTTTGCTTCATTGATTAATTATGGTAATTTATGCAAATTTATTCCAAAAATAATTTAAAATTCACAAAAAATGCTTCTTCTCCTTCATATTTCGACCGATTTTGATTTGGTTTGCTTTATATTGTAGAGCTAACTTTGGTACACTAAACTTCTACACAGAATTTTGAAATTGTTCTTTATTAATTAATTATGGTAATTTATGCAAATTTATTCCAAAAATAACAAAAATTGCTTCTTCTCCCTCATTTCTTGACCGATTTTGATTTGGTTTGCCTTATTTGGTAGAGCTAAATTTGGTTTACTAAAATTCTACTCAGAATTTTGAGATTTTGCTCCTTTGATTAATTTTTATTTTTTGACCAGTTCAAAAGTGTACCACATAAACTTTACGATATTTGTTGTTGCGAGATGCGGATGAGCGCTACGTCATTGACGTTCTGGTTTCTGTTTCGTTCCAAATTATGTTTCACGCGCACCTGTCAACCCAATCTGCATTCTATCCATGCATGATTCCAAGATATGATAAAAAAAGTTCTCCAACCGATTGCGATAGTTTCGAATAACCTTTCCCCCAAAAAACATGTTTTTCAAGAAAATGTTCCCATTTATCATTGACACAATTAAATTATTATTTTATTTTGTGCAGGTTAGTGGTTCCTTATCATTCGGTACATGCGTCCCAGAAGTGTGTACAGAGAAAGATATCTTTATAGCCATTCAAAACATCGGTGAGTTAAACTTACATTGATTGTCTTGAATAGATTCTTACATGTATTCCTTCCAGTGCATTATCATTTAATTAATATTATTGTTGTTATTGTTGTTATCGATATAAGTATTGTTGATATATTATCATTATTACTATTATTTTTGTTTTCATTATTATCATCATCATTGTTGTTGTCATTGTTTTTGTTTTTATTGTTATTATTAATAATATTATTGTAATCGTTATCATTATCATCATTATTATCAGCCTACTATGCTTCAAGCCAGCTATCAACGACTATATGAGGAAATTTAATGTATTTTTCCATCTCCCTCTCTTTTCATTTCAGAAAGTATATTATTTCAAAACGTCACTAAGACACCAGCCATCCATTGCAGTAAAAAATTGAACCCTTCCAACGATTCAGGATTTATATGCACCATGTAAGTATAACATCCATCCCTTAGTTTGGACCAATATGATGTAAACCTTTTAAGGTAAAGACCAGTTTTAGAAACACCCCCTCTCAAAAAATGAAATGGAAGCTCTTATTACCAATCATGTGAAAGAATATGTTTTGACTAATACGTGGGGATACAAATTTTGCCGGGAACTGCCTACTAATTGATTTATTTGGTACATTATTATATCTATCCGGACTGGATAGATATAGGGTAGTCGGACATATACATCTTTCTGTGTATACAGTGCTTGTAACTTTACCAAAACTAGGTCAAATTTCTTATCATTTCGATGATTCCAGAACCTTGCAGTACACACCAATAAATATATGAGCAAACTTTTCTGATCGATTCCACAACGTTTCTTTCACAATGCAATCGCATGACCAGAACTGGTCTATTTAAAGATGACTTTCAATAATGCCAGCGCCGTTAATTGGGCCAGCCCAAGCCTTGTCAAGTAAATGCCGTTTATATTTTGTCTTGTTTTTCCTTTTTCATTAGTGTTCTAAGTCGGATAAACATAGTGAATGATAATTATTCTCAAAACAGCGATTTTGATGTACATTCAATAGATTTGATCAAGTATAAGTTGGGTAGTATGGACATGTTTCGATCTGACCTGTAGCCTACATTGTAGGATGTCAGGGGGGGGGTCGGGGAGTCATAGGGCTACGTCAGTGCGTATCCAGAGAGTCCTATATTACTCAATCCTCCGCAGGTGGGGGGGGGGCGTAATATACTACCTAGGCAGTCCCCTGTGCTGCCTCGTATAGACGTGGCACTCATGGGGAGGGGGAGGTGTTAAGGTGGAACAGTGCCCCATTTTTAAAATAACCCAAAAGTGCCACTTTTTATGTAGGAATAGTGCTCCCTTTTTCTTCAGATGATTGTCATTTTTTCTTATTAACTAGTGTCCTTTCCCATCTCATAAGCACCCCTTTTCCAGTGCGAGAAATGCCCCTTTTCTCCTCTGATAAATGTCCCTTTTACGTCAGATAAGTCCCCTTTTTTCTATCGTACAAGTGCCCCTTCCCCTTCTCACAAGTGTCTCTTTTCAACTCTCATATATGCTCCTCTCCCCTTCTTATTAGTGCTCCATTACATCTCTGATGAGTGCCTCTTTTCAGGTATGAGAATTTCCCATCTCTGATAACTGCCCCTTCTTACTTTGAAACATTCCTCTTTCCTTTCTAAGTGCACTTTTCCCTTCTGATATTAAGTGCCCCTTTTCCCTTTCTATGATACGGCGGTCGTACGCCCCCGTAAAAGAGATATACTTGCGGCGGCCGCAAAGAATATGCAATGGCCTCGGGGCACCTTAAGGGCAATATAACATATTTTGTTTAGGTCCAAGATACAGGAGAAGAAACAAGCGCCGTGAATTACCAACCCACATCTGAATGAGCCTTAATTGGTTTTTATGTTTCCCTAAACACGAGAGGGGTATGTACACCTGCTTCATACTTTGATTTGATGGACCTCCCGCCCTTTAGTAAACTAAATTGATTCCCTATGGATATTAAACCTAATTTTTTGTTCTTCCCCCCCCCCCCCAGGGTCTTTCTTTCACTGCTCTGTGCATTGTGTCTCTGTGCAACGGTGTATGAGAGTTACCTCGATCACTGCGGCAGCTCTGATGAAGAAAGCACACCGATACTTAGACAGCAGACGTTCGAGAGTTCTTGCAATGGACGCCATCATAGTGAACGTACAGTAGTTGATTATGGAGGTTAGATTCTGTCACTGTTAAGTCTGTTTGAAATAATGTTAACGAATAAGCCGCTTTTCCGAAAGTAACACATAGAATTCATAACTAATGTATGTTATTTTTTAGGTGTTCTTTTTTAGGAGAACCATAGCTCATTTTTATAGGGATTTTGTTTTGTTAAGTTAGGTAAGTTCACGCAGAGGTTGAAGTTCGCTTCAAAAGGTATTGCTGACACTGAAGTTGATATAAAAAAAAACGCGTTTTGAAAGGCAATGCATATTAAAATCGCATATTAGAATCACATTTTAAATTCACTGATGTTTTGAGAATGCTGTCTGCCTTTGAAATTAGGGGTAAAACGATTGTCTTTGAAAGCTTGAAAACCTTCATTTCTTTTTTTCTGATAGATCTATCAGCATGGAGGAGATGTATCCTCTGCTTTTCTCTGAACCGCTCTGTGAATCAGATCACTAATACGACATCAGGGAAGGATGAAATCCAATGTCTTCATGGAATGAGAGTTATCAGCATGTTCTGGATAATTCTCGGACATTCATTCAGTTTCCAACAAAACTCGGGTGCATTGGGTAAGCAGGTATTAGCATTGTACCCGTCGCACGCGATGCGTCATTTTTTGCCTGAGGTAAGACTGCGTGAGTGACTAGTGTGATTTTTGACGCGCCACATGGTGGGTGTGACATTGAATACCAAATTGATTGGAAAATGATCGCTGCACAGATTGCCATGAAGTTACTAGCTAAACTAAAGGTTACCCCCCCCCCCCCCCCCCATTTTTTTAAGTGTAAAAAAAAAAGCCTTTAAAAAAAAATTGTGCTAAAGGGTTAAAAAAAAAAAAAACTGACCTTACCCCCTTCCCCCCCCCCCCTTGAAAAAATCCTGCGTACGCCACTGTAAATAGGTAATCATATTGGTTGGCGCTGCTCAGATGGTGTTATGTATTACTAATTTCTTTACTGCTTCACTGCTCCCTGTGTGTTGGTGTTAGCCCTGATATACACACACAATCAACACCATCTTAACTTCTCTCGAAAATTCAAGTCGAGGGCAATTTCAATACTCTATAAAAATCATGTTAGGATCATTACGTAATATATCATTGTAATGTTTGCCCCGTTCAAAAGGTGACGTACAACGCAATTTCAGTGGCTTTAAGTTGATACATGTATATTATGTTCTTGTAGTTATGTTCTAGACATGAGCACTTTTAAAATTCAATTCCGATTGTATTATTTTCATTTCAGCTGATATTTCATGGCTATACAGAGTACCAGCCAAATGGTTCACGAGCCAGGTTATTTATAATGGCTATGTCGCCTTAGATACCTTCTTTTTTCTCGGGTAAGTAGCAAATAAGAAAGAATTTTGTATATTTAAAACATTGTTCATAGACTTTTGCGAGATCAGGCAAAGTATTTATTTTTAGCGAGGAATGTATATTTGTACCACTACGGAATACCAATGATGTCCCTTTTTCGATTTGGTACAGTATATATGCATATGACTCTTTCTTAGCAACAACTTCATTCGTGAAAAGAAAGGAAATACATTTAAAAGTTTAGGCTAGCTGCTATATGGAAACTATGTGCAGGGATACAGGTTTATAAAGAAAAGGATAAAAGAAACATAAAGAATGTACTGAACACATTTCAATTTGGAAGTGATAATGAAACATAGCTAGGGAAAGAGGGTAATATAGACTAACACGATGTGTACATGTTTTTATGTAATGATTTAATCCTGTATGTAAAATTGAAATGAATTTAATCAGCACCCATGTTGTTCGTATAAATAGAACTTGAAAAAAATACGATGTAGAGAAGTTTAAAGGGACAGTCCATCCTGAAAAATGAGAGAAACAGGCCAGTGAAAATTTGAATTAATTTTATCAATCAAACACAAATTGGCAAAATGTGACGTATCTCGCGAGCTCCCCTTCCCATTTGCCCTTTTTAATACTAAAAAAACTTCGGAAGTCTATATGTTCCCTTAAAACATTTTTCAGTCATCCGTTCACCTTTAATTTGATTATTGCAAATATGTTTTCATACAACCTATGTATGAAAAGAATCTAATCCGTCAGAAATAAAGAGGAGATCGCATGATACGTCACAGTGTTGCCAATTTGTGATTCACTGATTACAACTTAAACAAATTCATAACTTTCCCATTTCTAATCGGATTTTGCTCAAACTTTCACGTTTGTAGTTCTCTCATTTCATATCATATCAGGGTGCACCTCTCCTTTATTTCCTAGATGTCACAATCCTACCAGATTTTTTTTCCCCTTTTTTTTCTCCGGAATATTGATAAATGTAATTATACATGTACTGAGAAATGAATTCAATTAACTAAACATGTATCACTGAAATACACCATGTTCCTTTTCCATTGCACAGCGGCCTTCTTGTTGCCTATACGGGCTTCAAATACATGTCAAAATCTGTTGGAAGAGTCAACTGGTTGGTTTCCATAGTTCATCGGTATCTTAGGTAACATCTCAGTTTATAATTTGCAGTTGTGTTTAGTATAATGCAAGGGCATAGGGACAGGGGAGGGGGAGCACTGAAGAGCCCCGGTCAAATGTGTGCCTCTTCTGAAAAATGTGATAACCGCGTATGCTTTTCAAATGTTTTGAACGTATGTTTGCCCCCTCTGTCAGAAAATTCTGATTACAAATATATATATGGTTTTCATATCATCAAAGGAAAATGTCTCAATTGACATGTAAAGGTAATAACTATGAATGATAATTATACCTAGTCAGTTGTTTCCATTATGCTAACAAGTGAGGAGACGCGGTGGCTCAGTGGTAGAGCAGTGGTCTCGTAACCACTAGGTCCCGGGTTCGAAACCAAGTCGATGCGCTAGTGTCCTTTGGTAAGGCAGTAATCCTCATTACCAATTCCCTTGGAGAGGACTTCAAGCCCTCTGTCCTCTAGCAGCTTACTCACAAATGCTTTCTTAGCAGTCAGATATTAAAAACAAACCTAGTGTTTTGTATTTAATCATAATTATATTGACATCATTTTTAAATGTCTTTCTATTCACAGGATAACGCCGGCGATGGCAGTTGTAATTCTGTTATACACCTTTGTGTATCCTTACCTTGGAGAGGGACCTTTCTGGTACAAACGAATAGAAGATACTCAAGATTGTTACCAGTGGTGGTGGACCAACTTTCTTTATATCAACAATTTTGTACCATCAAGTACATCGAGCGGGGTATGATTGCATTTTATTTTATTTCTCTGAAAAAATGAATTAATCTGGTTTATAGAGCAATGCTCTATGAACGAAAATTCAGTTGTGAATAAACGCATACTTATTTTGTAATGATTAAAGTGACCCAGAAACATTGTTGAGTGTTGATGAAAAAAATGCGTAATTTTTGTATGAAATCTTACTTATTATATCCCTTCTACTGTACTAACCCTCTAACATGCATTAAAATCCTGAAGAAACAAAATCTCAAACCACAAAGATAGTTATGATTTTCTTTGAGGCGTCACACCCTTTAACAATAAATTCTCCCAACCATTTTTTTTACTTTTCCCAACCATTTTTCCATGGAAATAAGACATAAGACAGGCTTTCAAAAATCTTTCAACACCTCAATGTCTGGAATGGTATATAGAGCCGTTCATTGCTTTGTGACAATTATATTCACCTTGAATGTAATTAAATTGTAATAACATAGTTGGGAGCCTAATTAAGGAATCGATCAGATCAGTTTTTCCCAATTTTTATCATTAATAATGGTCTGTTTTCACTCAAACTTTCAGATTATCCTTACTTGCACATCTAGCATTGAAGTCACTATCTTAGCAACATTTTCTCTCATCTGAGCAATGTTACCAAGTCCCTTTAAGCCTAAATTATAGTTCTTTTTATAAACGCAAGGGCTCCGAGGGTTCCTCTGTTAAAGCCTATCTGCACTAGTTTGGTCACTGGCAGGTGGTTATATCATCAAATCAGCTCTCCTCATAAGAAAAAGGGGATCATGGGGGACCAACGGGTACCGATTAGGCATTGTTGGCTATAATAGAGGGCGCAAGTAGATACAAGTTCTGCAGTCTCGCTTTGATATTGGTTAGTGTTCATGCCGAAGTTTGTGCTTTTGTCCGATCTGTCACGATAATTACACTAAGCCACCCCACTATTGAGTGGCCTTTCAGAATACCGATTTGCTGATTGAGTGCTAATTGAGCGCTAAGTGAGCTTTCAAAATAACGCTCCAGAGCATTAAGTTGCAAGGCTCCTATATAAAGACCTCGTAATTATAGCCTCTTCTCATGTCTAAAATAGTATATTGTGTATTCTTCTGGTTTGTTAATGCAGTGTTTATCATGGTCTTGGTATCTGGCGACAGACATGCAGTTATTTCTGCTTGCAATCATCCTCACCGTTCTACTCTGGTGGTAAGATAAGACCTGTATTGTCATAGAAATACCATCAAACCACGGATATCATGCAAACATATCTCTTCATTACAAAAATGTCCTTCGGATAAGGTTATAAAATATAAGACACTTGTTCCTGTGACAGTTGCTCCGCGGTCAATGTCTTATACCTTCTACCCTGGACCCAACACTATACCTTACATTAGATCTAAACCTAACGTTAAACCCAATTGCAACCCTAACCCCAAACCCAATTATTCTCTATACTTGGATGAAACAAAGCCCGGAGCAATTACCGATGGAGCAAATGTCGGGTTACCATGGAATAAGTAAAATTTCCATTCATTATGTGTGGTTGAATATGGTAATGTTAATATTTGATAGTATCGGGTTCGGAATCAACACCCTTGACTGACGCGATGAAAAGATTGACCGTGTAGTGTGTCATCAGGTAAAACGTTTTTCAACTACAAGATCCATATAAATCATATTCAAACTGTGAATCAAGCAATAGCAGTCTTGGAAATTATGTCCTTTGGCTATACATAAATCTAAAGTTGCTACTCTCGACCCAAGTTAAAGGTAAAGACCAGTATTGGAAATGCCCCAATTTCAAAAAATGAAATGGAAGCTCTCATTACCAATCATGTGAAAGAATATGTTTTGACTAATACATGATGATAAAAAAATTGCCGGGAAACCGCCTACTAATTCATATATTTGGTAAATTTGTTTCTCTCATGGTCTGTGAGAGATATAGGGTAGTCCCATATACATATTTCTGTGTATAGTGCTTGTAACTTTACGAAGAATGGGCCAAATTTCTTATCATTTTGACGATTCCAGAACCTTGCAGATGCTAGATGCTAAATGATCAACCTTTTCTGATTGATTCCACAACGTTTCTTTCACAATGCAATCGCATGACCATAACTGGTCTTTACCTTTAAATATACACACAAAATGGGTACCCGATATAGAAAGATTTTCAATAAATGATTTAGTGTAATAAATGTACATGTAGTATTATTTTGTATACGTTTTGGAGGTGCCGCAGTATATTGGTTCACTTGACTCTCAATCCAAGGATTGAGGGTTTGGAATCCCAGCCCGACAATAACGTCTGTTGGTAAGATAATGATCCCCATTTGCCACTCTCCATTTGCCACTCTCCACCCAGGTGCACTTGGTTACCTGGCAATTGCTGGGATAATAATAATTGCAGGGTCCTCAGGAAGAATAATCCTTGGTGCTGATGAGGCTTCCTTGGGTAAACAAACATTATTATTATATCCCTTGGGTTGTAATGTTTCTATTTTATTATTGCCATTATTACCTTATATGTGTGTACTTTTATAGAAATGTTTACCGACCACATTACTACTACGCTACAATGATTTTCACGTTGTAATTTATCTTTGTGTTTGATATGCTTTCCTCCTTTAGGTTTCCAGCTATTGGAATCGCTACACTAACCCTACTATCTATCGCCAGTATTATGATACGCGCTGTTATCTTCTCATTGAGGGACTACGCAGCCACTCAGATCATTAATACGTAAATTCAAATTTTCCTCTCATTTTACATGTATAATATGTCTAAACTTTGTCTAGACTTTGACCTTTTTTGAGATAGATTAAATGAACTGAGAGTCATTGACATTTTGAAATTGTAAAAAGGGATGAATCCTAATCAAATAAGTTTGGCCAAGGGCTTAAACGTGCATGTGACATATTGTAATACATTAACTAATCTCTGGAGATTTCTATATTGATACTGAGATGTAAGGGCAGCCAGTAAAATTATAACAGATATTGTAGGCTCATATTTGCAGACAAAATATGTAAATACATGGTTGTTTCTTCTTCTGTTTTTTTTTTTTTTTTGTTTTTGTTTTTGTTTTTTTTTTTGGGGGGGGGGGGGGTATTAGAAGGAAACACGTGCCGGGTGCAATGGCATCATTACACTGCTCTCAATGGCTATCACCCAATCAGTTTCAGTGATGATGTTTATGTGTTACTTATTGTTTATTATTTCTTTGTAGTTTTATGTTTACAGAGTTGCATGGTCAGTAACAAAACTGATGAATATACATATAAATCTTATATTTGACTCTTGCCTTTCCTAGAATTTTGATCGTCATAATATTTTGCAATTTGTGAACTTCATTAGTTAACAATCTGTGATCTTTGATAATTGAGGAAATAACTGTGATATGATGTTATCGTTTTTTAAATTGGACTTTTTCAACAGAGTTGCAGGTCAAGCTAGTGGGCTCATGTTTATATTTTCTGTAAAACCCTACGCATGCGCAACAGGATACTTGGTCGGGTTTGCAATGGGATATTTTCTGCATACTTTGAAGAATAAAACAGTTCCAAGATTACACACGGTAAGAAGTTTTGCCCTCTTACAGCTGCTTTCGTTTATTTTGATAAACATGTATAATATTGATTCAGGTTTTAAAAAAGAAAATGTCTGAAAATAATAAAGAAATCTTTACTAGAGAATGACATAAAGCTGTCACCAAAAAATATCAACACGTAGAGAACATCCTTTATTGGATGTTTACTGAAAATTGTTATTATCAACATTCAGTAATAATTGATTCCCAAATTGAATAAGAATCCAACTTCTTTGACAAACTGACGACCTATTTCGCTCTTCAATAGCGACTATAAATGGTTTCTAAATGCATTGCTTTGAGAATCAGAAATGTTTTGCATAATATCATTGGTGTTGACTAAACTGGTTTCTCAAAAGTCGGTACATAGGTGAGAATATTCGCCTTGCGCCGGTTATGATTGATCATTATTTTATCTCATAACAACATGCCTGGCCGTCTGCTTATGATTGATTTCGAGAAGGCTTTTGATAAATTAGAGTGGCCTTCTGTTTTCAAAGCAATGATTTTTCTGAGTTTTTGCAAGGATGTTATCAGCTGGGTGAATGTATGTTATAATGATATTCCTCTTGACTTGACTTGACTCTTGGAACAAGAAATGGAACCTTTTGAACATTAAAAAAAAATTGAATGCTTTATTCTAGGTAAACTTTTTTGTTAATGTGTGTTTCTATATACATGTAATATGATTTGTTGAGTACATGATGAAATCTTGTTGGATATTTTTTTTCTCTCTGTACATTTTTACTTCTTATGTAAATTGTCCTTTTTTTTGTCTTGTTTTTTGTTTTGTTTTTTGGTTGGTTATTTTTTTTTAAATACCTGCATTGTAATATGATTTTATAAGGTCAACTTAAGAGTGTAACGGACTGGTGGTTATATTTTGTATGTTTTCCCCCATCAGTTCCAAGTACAAGTGCAGACGAATAAATGTAAGAAAAAAACATTCAGTAACACATGAAATCCAAGAAGCAGGAGATGAGTGCTCAATTTTGATCAATCGCTGATCTCTGATCGAAAGGAGTTATTGAATTAACCATTACTTCAATTCAGATATCTGAGTATCCTTCATTATTATGTCTTTTCTATTGGTTCCAAACTTCAGATTGCAGTTCTACTTGGTTGGATGACTGCATTTGCTATTGGAATGTCAATCGTTTACGGTCTTTATGGCGTTTTTAATCATCCTGGGCTAGAGATTGTACCACCAGACAAGGCTACAAATGTAGTATATGGTTGCTTGAAGAGCCTTGCATGGACATTAGCTCTGTCATGGGTGGTATTCTCTTGTCACCATGGATACGGAGGTAGGTAATATACTCTCTTTGTATAGTCTTAATGTTTCCGTTAATGGTTAAATGTTGGCCCCATCTTATTTCAGTAAAACTCGAAAGCGGTCAAATAATTCGACATAAATTTGCTTTCAAGTGCGCCGCGCTAGCCGAAATTAGCTGTAAATGTTCCTTTTGGGGTGATATTTCCGACTTCAGGCTGTATATACTCAAGTAAATATTTAAACCATAGGAATGAAAGAAAGAAGTCTCAAAGTTACGAAAAGTTAACAATTCGTTTTTATAATCATCTCTCACTCAATTTTAGACACTGAGTTATTGGTCTCCGGGACTCCAAATATTTTTCAAATTATTATTTGCTGTATATTTTTTTAATACAAGTCTGTTATTGAGACGAATTTGAGACTGCAGCCATATCTGGAAAACTACTAGTATCCTTTTGGACATTTACTTCCCGAGCAACTACCCCTGGCAATTACCCGTAAAGACAATAAACCTCAGGAAAATTACACAAGGACAGAAACATTACGACGAGGATAATTAGTTCAGGACAATTGCCCCGTAGAACTCGAGGTTAATGTATGAAAATAATTTTTAGAAAATTATATAAAGTCGTCCTGAAATAATCATAATCATATTTATCGCTGTAAATAGTGCGAACCTGTGAACCTCATCAGTATAGGAGAGAGAATCCGTAACATCTTTGCTTGCTTGGATATGAATATAATTGAATTGTATTGTTTACATGTCCAGTTTACATATCCAGTTACTCTACTGTTAAATGTCCATGAAAGGGAGTTGAAAATGCTTGCCTTCCATCTTTTGTCCCGTCTAGGTGTGATAAATCGATTCCTTTCTTGGAGTCTATGGATCCCTCTGTCTAGGTTGACGTTCTGTGCATATCTATTACATCCTGCTGTTATCTACCTCTACACTGGAACAATCTCAATGAGCTACAATGGTCCCATCATTCATCAGGTATTAGCAAGCGTACACTGATTATTTACCATGTAAATATAAGAAAATAACGGTCAAGACACGGGCCCTAAAGTCCTAAGCATTACTGTACAAAATAAATATATTGCAGAGTCAAAGAGAAAATAATTATTAAATTAAAAAAAATGTTTATTTAACAAATTTTCCCTCTCGTTCCCTTTACTGACACTGACAGTGGCATCGTCGCATCTCAGAGTAAAATCATTTTAAAGTTTAAACGAGGCTTTTTGCCATATAGTAAATTAATTTTCGAGGGCAGCTTTCGAAGAAAAAAAGTATGCTAAGTAAAGTGATGCCCCAAACGTAGACAGGAGTTTCTGATAAACATATTTTAAAAAATTTTGATGTGCTCTAAATAGTGCATAAATATACATGTATTCTGAAATATTTATTTTGAGGTATTACATTTTAGAAGTCAATGGTAGGCAAACTCGCCATTGAACTCTTAACAAGTAATGGTGATAGGGGATAAGAAGGCAAATGCTTACATTGCTAACTAAGATGACTATCCATATTCTTGTCTTATAATTTCTTTCCCCAGAGTTTTCTGTTCGCCGGTTTCGTAACGATCAGCTACTCAGCAGCTTTCATTCTTTCTTCGTTGATTGAAGTGCCAATCAGTAGTCTTCAGAAGATGTTCCTCAAGCGATAATATCTCACTATACTACGCAGATCAAAGGTATATCTCGCCCTAATTACAAACCATTTTCGTGGTTGATAAAAAGGGCTTTCAAAAAGGGTAATCAAAACTTAATAACAAGTCGAGTAGGCTGAAGAAAAAGAAAAAAAACACTCAGGGAACCATGCATGGATTATTGTTATTACAACTCCGTCCCAAGAGATCCTTCTTGAATTTCGTCATAAATTTTGATAAGATATCTTAGTTTGCAGAAAAAATAATGAGAAAAGTTGTCAAATCACAGTGACGTTACCGATTCGTCACCTTGGGGTTACCATTTATAGAATAGTTATTTAATTTTTTTATTTAGTCTCTTATTCTACATCTGATTTTGTTTCTCTGTTTTTGTTCAAATCAACTTATAACATGTATTAATAGGCGATCGCCTTTGAAGAATTGTGTTTGCTATTATTTTTCAAATAGCTTTGTCAATCGATACGGAAAATATCGAGGAAGGAAATAATTTCATATTATTACTTTATGTTGATGAATCGGCTTACCAATTTCATCATAATTATATTATGTATATTTCATAGATACATGTTTATATTGCCTAACAAGGAGAGAGGTCGGACCGGATTTAGTATGAACCCTATTGTGTACAGTGATGTATTTCGTTCGTTATATATCAAAAGAATTGAATATTATATTAGTAAACCGGTTAATTTACGACAAAGATAAACTTGTAATATTGCTGGTATTGGGTTTTCGCTTCGACTGCTATATGCACTAAAATTCTAATTGTTATTACTCTTATTATTATTTACAATTTAAACCATCAAAACGATCTTCGTTTAGATTTCCATGAATAATATTATTGCCATTTTTTCAAGAGTTGGATCGCAGTCGAATGGTATAGATTGTACATGTATTTCAACAGCTAGAATATTGATTGCAATTATTATTTGATGCTGGAAAAAAAAAATAACAAGCTATGGAAGGTTGCTAAATACATGTATTTAGATACATTTATTTATATTACTTTATTACCAGAAGTTTCATTTTTCAATTTGCGTGATGAATATGGCAATACTGCTTATTAACAACATTAAGCCCCTTCCATCACCCTATGGGAAGTGTGAACATAACAGTGATGTTTGACGCAATCTGAACATGATTTCTGTTAGATATACAATTGGTATTGAAATTGTCTTATGAGTTGATTTTTAGAAAGTACTTGCTATCGTATTATTATATCGTCGTAAAGAAAACACGGTACATCAGTATTTAAAGATTTATGCCATCTTCTAACTCTTTTCACGAGCGAGGAATCTGACATTACTCGAGTATAAACGATCGATTTCACATAATCCTTGATATTAAAAAGAAATCATTCTCATTTCATCTCTTTTGTTATTGTTTCACAATTTTAACGAAGGTATGATAAACAGGTATATATCCTCGGTACTGTCTGTTAACCCACTTGTCCTCAGATATGTGTTTAAACGAACCTGATCAATTCTGTACATAATGCCAAGTAGACACTTTGAGAAAAATTAAACATACAGCATATATTATGATGTGTAACGTAACCAAGAGCAAATATGGGAAGCTAATGAGTACGAGTGTGGCATTGGCGTATGTATGCATATTTTTTTCTTCTTCAATTTTCACAATGATTGTTCATTTAATTTGATTTGTACTATCTGTTTGGTTTCTATTCAATGATAATCCAGATCTAGATTTTGCATAGCCTGAAGCGGATATGTACGCAATATATGAATGTAACTATTATATTTTAACAAATACATTTTCATACATGCACAGGTCAAATGTTATGTTTTATTTACGTTTGAAATTGAAAATACATTATTTTCTTTCATTTGATTGAGTATTATTTCAAGTGGCCACTTTTATAATAAAACTAACAATTGAATTTTAATTCATATTCTATGCATATTTTTGTGTATAATGCATGCATTAGACGTGTAAATTTAAAAAATATACGATATTTTAATATTTTCAAAAAGATCCCTGTTCGGCCAAGATGAAGGCACGGCAGATCGTGTATCATAAAAGACGGTATCATTAACGAATACATTGAAAAACTGAACATACATGCCCATCGTTTTCTTAAAATGTATTTCCAATGAATGTTTACAACATAATAATCTGATGCCAATTTCAGAAAGTATTCAATTCAATTCAGTAATGGTACTCATTCAAATATTAATTCGCAGCCATTGGGATATGGATATTTTTTTTACAGCATAAAGAATCATATTCTCATAATTTACAATATCTAAAACTAAGGTTTATTTAAATAACCTGTAAGAAGTTCACGCAATCTATTCATAATATTGACACAGTATTAATATTTAGGTAACTCTGAGGATTGATGGCTTTATTATTAACCAATACTCTGCTACAAGTGCTGATTTGCACAATCGCTGACTTGTCACGAGTGTTGATCTGCACAAACTTTAGGAAGCAACCAACATAACAATCGCACTGTACATTACGAAAGTTTTGCATCTTTATCCATATTAATTAACTTCATGACAACCTTTTCATTACCTGCATGTGGAAGCTTTACAATGAAAATTTAGAAATAAACTAGATTCCATTGACTTAAACTAGGCTTCAACAAAAAAGTACATAACTCAAAATTTTCAATAGCGCTATCATGCTATCATATCCATTCAAGACATAAACCTGTCTTACGATTAGGCTGAGTTTTATATGACGTATTATTCTGGTGGCAAATAAAGGGTTAAACGGGGCATTAAAGCACATTCTACAGGCTTATTAGTTTTTAAAAAAAGTAAATAGCTCAACATTTTCAACAGCGCCAACATGCGATCAAATCCATGCAAGACCTACCCCTGCCTTACGATTAGGTTGAGTTTGATGCTAGTCCAAGGTATTTCCCTTGATACATATTACCGATTACATTAAAGATACATACCTGCTTGGATCAAACCAAATATGAAGGAAAATAATAATTATTTGATTATGAACTTGGACTTACCAATGAGTCTCAACACATTCAAACTATTTGAGTAGAAAATATCAAAGTGTCGGCAAATCTTTATTTTTCCAACTAGTCTCGATAAATAATTACGGACACTTTTTTTTAAATCATTAATGTCAGCAAAAGCGAATATTAAGGCATATTCCTTTCTGTCTATACAACTCGAGATTGATCGTCAACCTTTAAATGTATTTATTGGACCCAAATTGCAGGCAATTGGGACCAGTGGCGGATCCAGGGGGCCCTCTCCCCTGGGAAAAAACCCAGGTAAAAACACGTTAATTTTACCTTTATTTGGAGACGGGCTTCTGCCCTGGTGCTCAAGGGGGAGTGGGTGCGATTTTTAAATTTTCGAGGGCAAAACAACAAAATTAGTGCTCACTACCCCCCTCCCCCCCCCCCCCCCCCCCCCTCGCTTATTCACCGGCTGGCTGTTTTCGCCGCTCAATATTTTCTCACGAATTGGGCCCCCTCTTTGGCCCCCTCCCCTGCCGCCGGCTGGATCCGCCCCTGATTGGGACATCACAGCTCAAGGAGAGAAAGGAAGATGGAGGAAAAGAACGGAAAACAGAAATAACATCCCCCCCCCCTCCCCCCTTCCAATTGGTGGCCATGTTCATTCCCGTTTCATCTACCACTTCGCTATTGTATAATTTTACACAGATTTTTGCAATATGAAATAAAGTCTAAAGAGTTTACAGGCTGAATTAACGGCTGAATCCTTGCTATTTATTTGCTTTTCCACGAACGCAGCGTACTCACAAGGCAATATTGAGCAAACAACATGTTCATACCACCTACATAACGAGTGAAGACGGAAATCAACATTATCAGTACAACGCCTTTGACCGCTTTATTATATTAAGTATATTTAAATGGATTTTATATAATTCTCTTCTGGATATACTCCAAGCGCTCTAAATACAAAACATGAGGCGAATTTAACAATTCCTCGTCCCTCCGTCTTTATCAAAGGCGAATTGGGATTGAAATTCGGTCGGTGGAAGTTACTACAAACCCACTGAAGCTATGGTCACAACCCAAAAAAGTAGCCTGCTCGGCGGCCGGGCGGCGAGTTTTGAGCCAATTTAGCCCGGGCACCAAGCGGCGGCCGCTCGGGCACCGCTTGGTTTTAGGGCATCGCTCGACCGGTCGCTGCTGAAGTTTTAGCGCGGTGCTAAAATACGGGCGGTGCCTGCTCACTTTCACTCGTCGCCCAAACTACGCTCGATGCCCGGGCGCCGACCTGATCGAGCGTTCGTCGTCGAGGGATATAGGTCAAAAATCGAAGCCGCTAGGCCAAAGGCTGTCGAGCAGTCGCCGCCCGGTCGCTGCTGGGAGATCAGTCGGGCGGTGAGTTCAAAATCAGTCGGCAGCCTTTGACCTAGCAGCTTCGACTTTTTGACCTATATCCCTCGACGGCGAACGCTCGATTAGGTCGGTGCCCGGGCGGCGACCTCCCGCGCACCAAGCGTATTTTGGCGCCCCGTCGATCACTGGTCGGCCGCCGGGAAATTCCTTTAAAATCAGCCGGTGGTCGGTGGGAGACCGCCCAGGAATCGGTGGGTTATCAGTCGGTCACTGTCGGGACGCCGCCCGGAGAAGCTCCCCGATTTTGCCCAGTTTTGACCTAAAATCGACCGGCGACCGACGGGAAATCTGCAGGGCACCGCCCAGGCATCGCTGGGGCTCTACAGCCTACTCGACTTCTCAAAAAAAAAAAAATCGTTGGACAATGCCTTAATTAAAGGCTACAATTCGGTCGGTCGCCGTTCTGAGTTGTGACCATAGCTTAAACGAAACTAAATCTTCAACTCTCTTATACCATATCCGCAACTCGTCTAAGGTGGTTCGGATGTTTAGTAAATGCTGCTGCCGCTGCGGCTGCTGCTGATGCTCTTCGAGAAGTAAGCGGTGACCCCATGAGGCCTGACCGCGGTGACGATGGAGATCGTGGTGACGTAGGTGACTTGGATCCAGTGAATGGGGTCTGAAACCGTAACGGCATCTCATTCCTACCGTCTAACGGCAACGATGGAACTAAAGAAAACTTCCTTGAATTCATGGGAGAGCCGATATGATTTGGCGCATGTGTCCCAAAAAGATTCGGTTGTGTGTTTCCACGGCAAAGCATAGGTTGTCGCTTTCGCCCAGGGTTCAGTCTTTCCTTCGCTATCGACTCTGAAACATACTCCTTTGCTTCACAGTCACGCTGGCTACTCCATCTTAAAGAGTTGGCATCGATTGTGTCCATAGTGCTTCGTCGTTTCAAGGAACGCGCTCGCTCAGAATACATGTGCTGCCGTGATGAGTGATGGCACTCGTGTGATTCTTGCAGACTAGTAAACGAATCTCGATCTTCACTAATTTCGCTAACGGGTGTATCGCTTTCGGTAGTCATGTAATCGCTTTGCTCCTGATCGTCCTCTGGCATACTGGCAAGCTGTGGCCGTCGGCTACTTTCAGGCGTTCCAAATCCAGGCGAACACATTCCAAAATCCTTGCCGAATTGAATAGATGCGCGAGTTGGACTAGTTCGTCTCACATTGTACGTATTTTCTGGAGAAGGAGAACCAAACTGATAGCTTTGCCTGCGCTGGAAAGATGAAAGTCGAAACTGTTCTTCTAGATCCGATGTCACATGGTCTTGGTATTCACCAAATAGAACGTCATCATCGGACAGCGGCTCTAACATCGGGAGATCGGTACATATCGATTCCATGTCGATATCCCTCGAGTATTCGGTTGGGAGTCGGAGCATTTGGTCTTGTTCGGTTAATAATTGTCTATTTGGTGTAATATTCCCCTCTGCCTTTTGCCCATGATAGGATGCAATCAGAAGATTCATTGCTCGTCGAATACCTTTGATCTCCTTTCGGACAAGTTGGTGAGCATCTTTGATGTTATCCTGCAGGAAATAAAGAATAGGTTAATGAAAAGATTGTTATGACTATGACAGCCTAAGAGAACGATCGTTATAACAAATCAAATAATACAAAACAATGTACAAATCTAAGACCAAATCATAAGCGATTCAATTCAATTTCAGTTTATTAATATCAACATCGACAATGTACAATGCAGTAGTCCAAGGACCAATAATGCAATGTTTACATAAAATGCGCATAAAAACAGGAATGATAATATACGTGTACAATAAAAAGGATACAAAATAAAGTTAACGTAATTGTTCATACCTCAAGCTATATACATATTATGCTAAGTGATAGTAGATGGATGAACAACTATAACAGTAAATTGAAATGTTGAACAAATTATTACAAGTAAATATAACAAAACACCATGCAAATCTCTTCTTTTTTCTTTTTTTTACAATAGGCCCATAACGTTCCACAAAAGCTAATATGGATTGTATAAATGTTGAAATGGAGAAAAGAATCTCCATCATTAAGTAAAATCATGTGAAAATCTAAGAAGCGGTTATTTTAACATTTTAGAATGCATTAACGAATAATAACGACAATCGTTTGTTTTTAAATAGTTTTATAATAGGCCTTTAACACTCCTCAAAACCTAATATGGACTTAATTAAAGCTGAAAACAAATCTCCTTCATTAATTAAGCAAAACATTCTTTTGTTTATAAGGAAGTGTAGACTAGGTGCAGAACTTTCCTTTTATTTCTCTGTTTGTCTGTCTCTCTGTCTCTCTCTCTCTTTCTCTTTCTGTACCCATCTATATGTACACAGAAATCATAGTATCCAAATCAATATATAATTAAGGCGAGCGAGTCATGATACCCACCAGATCCTATGGAAATCCATTAAAGATGTTGAGAGTCTTGGCTCATCAGCGGAGTACCATTAGAATAAAAAAAGGGATACGACCTCCACAAGTCTGATTATCTTGCCGACATTTTCTCTGGATCATTGATTTTACACAGCTATAAAAATGTGTTCTGTGCAGTGCATTGAAACCGCACAATACTAATGAACAGAGGACAAATGTTTTGAATGTACTCTGTAGTCCCGTCAGCTACCTTTGGCTTTCTCGTTTACACTCAGTCAAGAACTGTCATATAGGTCATGAGTAAAGTTCGTCAAATGGTTATAAATGAGATATATTTAACAAGAGATGGATTGCATTATGATTTAGGCGTGTTTGTAAAAATTTGAAGGGAAGGGGGTGTCTGAATGATCATTGGTAGTGAGTTGTACATTTTTGTTGCAAAGTATGAGAAAGAGCGTCTTAGGTTTAGGTAGAAACAGTCGTTTAGAATTAACATGTCTGGTGAGATATCTGGGGTTGCGTCGTATTATGAGTCTGAATACTAGTACATCATGATGTAGCGCTGGGTCACGTGTCCCCCCCCCCCCCCCTTTCCCCGTCTTTAACAAGAAGAGGAGAGAGGGGAAAAACAACGTGATGCATTCTCTGTAAATACAAAACTGCATCCCTGATCACTTCACACTCATTATTTCCTCTTCCTGGTAAGATCATTGCCCCCCCCCCCCCTCCCCCTCCCCTCCATGACTGGATTGACTCACGCCACGAAGTTGTAGACACCTGAAAAGAATTCACTATTAAATGGTAAAAAGTTCGTGTTAATTGACTAAATTCCTAATTCAAACGTCTCGCTTGTAGACAAAAATAAAATGATTATAAAGAAACAACAATATTTCAAAATGATACGAAATAAACACTTCTTTTTATAATTTCATCTGAGATTGTGTTTCAGTGGTAATTTTTATCACATAAATTAGCGTTCTTGATCTTACAGAAATCAAATCGATTGACGTATTCGTTAAAGTCGTGCTACTATCCTATATGAAATACGAACTGAATAAAACATGCGTTTGTTCTCTAACAATAAGATCTCTCCTATGTCGTGGGCATTAATCGACCCATAATCATAATCGCCGGCAAATTTTTAATCAATAATGATCGAACGTTTCCAACATCATTATTGATCGGGGTAATTAGGCGGTACTAATATAAGCAGAAAGAATGGTCCAAGACTTAAGAGATGCATGCTATACTGCATGGTGTACTCAATGAGGGATACGTTCCAATGAGAATGAAATGAAGTGTTATCACTTCGATGTGACACACCTAGTCAATATGTATGCGCCACTTGACGGTCATATTATTGATTCACTGTTTGGAGAAAGTTATCAAAGCCTTGGAAATCAGAGTTGCTTTGGTGACTTCAGGCAAACACAGTATAGAAAGAAAGCTTTTACTTCTCTTCTATATAATCATGTTCATATTATGAACATGATAAAAACAACTTCATTGAATAAAGACTGCAAGGAAAGTAAATGCACGAAAGATGGCATCTCTTCATAATTTAACTGTGTGGGGCTATTAACCCACTTACACGATCTCAAACACGAACTATGAAGGGTTCAAGAGCTTCTTTGAAATACAATACTCGTGTTAAGCCCGACACTATCAATCATCCTTCATCGAAAACCCAAGTTGTTTACCCAAACTTAAACGCTTGAAAATGAGATTGTATACAGCTAGCCAATGGAGCCCGGCCTTTGTAAAGATGCCTGGCCGAGTAAGCAGTAATTTCGGGTAATGATCGCGAAGGTATTGTTTAACTTACCAAGTCCGAACGAAGCTCAGCCACTTCTTGAAAGAGGATCCCACGTCTTTCTTTAAAACCCATCTTAGACAAAGACTCCTTAGCTATAGCTGAAACCATAATCTAGGTCAAGTAGGAAGAAAAAAAGACAACAACTAAAGTTTTTCCAGCTCACACCATGCTAATCACAATTTGATACGGGGAACATGCACGGGAAGTATATGTATCACCAATCGTATACTCAAGAGCAATTGACGCAAAATTCATTTAAATGTGATTCATTCACAAAACTGTTGTGTTTTACCATTTCGTTGTCAACTTTATACTAGTTCCTGTATAACTTAAATAATGTTTAAATACAATAACGAAAGGTTACTGAAAGCAGGATAAAGCCTATTCAATAAAGCCCGAAATTCCTTTTAAATTTACCTCTTCACTTTCAGATAATTTGAGCTGCGAAGAGAGTTTTTAATGTAGATCACATTTCCCATCAACAATACAAACTTTAAATTTTCTTAAAACCTTCAGGGATATTTATCTTAGAAAGCAAACAAACTAAACAAACATACAAACATACAAAACAAGGAGTCAGAAGAATGTAATTTCATTAAGACAGGTTTTATCACTCAAGGTAGGAATATTCAATTTCAAGTAAAAATGATCATTTGAAACCTACTAAGCTTCTGTTCCCTGATTTCTAGAAATTAAAGTCAAATACAAAATAACTTATATGTAACTGAAGTTTATGATATAAATTTATTCATCAAATTTAAAAACAATATTTGTTTTTGTTTTTGAACTCTAACGAATTATTTATTTATATATCATTATAATTATGATTATCATCATAATTATCATCATCATTATTGTTATTATTATTGTTATTATTATTATTATTATTATTATTATTATTATCATTACTATTATCATTATGAAATACCAAATTAAGTAAAGACTAGAAAATATCTAAATGACAGTAAGATGTAGATGTCATATCATATTTAAAACATACCCATTGCGTTATCCCCGTTTATTTCTTTAGTAATACTCTGAAAATGACTTTGCTTTCCAGTATTAGCGAGTCAATACTGTTCTTAAACTGGCCTGTCCAATTTTCTAATTAACTATCTCTCGATTCCAAATAAAATAACGTACACTTCATATGTTCTTTTTCATCCATGGAGAAGGAAAACAATGAGCATGTTTAGTTCATTATAAACAAGAAATGAAAGAACAATGACAATATAATATTGTTTGCAGAATAAGTTCATAATATAATTGCAATCATTAATTATGTGATAATTCACTCGTCATTGGCATAAATTACTAAAGAATCATAACAATTTGACATTGTTTGCAGAATAAGTTCATAATATAGTTGCAATCATCATTATGTGATAAATCATTTGTTATTGGCAGCAATTTTATTATAGCCACTCTAGTATATAATATAGCTTGATAGCAAAAGAACAAATATTTGGTGTTTATTTCTTACCTTTTGTGCATTTCTTCCCCAAAATACTATACAGGATCGGATCGGGATGAAGAGACTTCTTAGTTCACATTAATAATGAAGAGTGAATGCTTTTAAGTTCAGTTGATAGGGAATAATTATAGATATCTTAATATCATCATATCGCATGGATTCCATTTCGTCTAGTACCAAAGCCTTTCAAAAACCTTTTTTAAGGCAAATTCCCATGGTCCTCTTTGCAAAGACTGTCCCAAGGTTTACATCAAGTGAGTCTGTATGTATGCGGCAACATTTATTCGAATTTTCAAAACCATTTGAAATTAAAACCTTCCGCTTTCTCGGTGGAATGCCGTTCGAGTTGGCGACTCCTTTGTAAGCCTGGTTTGTCTGCAGGTGAATAGATTGAATGACACCAGAGCTTGGTCCACCCGTCAAACAATCTATTCCACGCTTATTCGTTTTACTTCGATTTTATGTAAAGATCCATTATCTGCTCGCTAGACCAAAGAGACAAAAACTAGTCGAGAGAAGACGGTAAACCTCTCATGTATTGATTGAAGGTTGAAGCATTAAGAAGTCTAATGGGCCAAGTGAGTCGCTCCGTCGACTTTTAGCTGGAGATGTAGTCTTCTAAACTCCAGTCAGAAGAAATGATGTGGGTATTGCTGTTTGGCCTGTGTTTAAGCGTGACATTAACGCAATATTACAGCTAATTTTGCTCAGAAATGTTATATATTATTCTAAAATAAAATTTTGCGTCGAGTACTACCAAATATAATGAAGGTTGACAAGGATGGAGGTACACTGACAATACAATGCTGTCTCTGAGGTGATCATGCTATACATGTTGATGAGCTTTTAGGTGTATGGAACCGTAAAAATATCTTTTGATTTCACGCATGTCAAGACAATCCCTGATGTAAATGGATGACCACAATAATAAAAACAACTGTTCATATCGGTCTTTGATCAATGTTCTGCTAATAAGAGCTATGAGATGCCTTGAAAGGTCGAAGTCTTTTCCTATAATTGTTCTCCTCTATGTTGGTCTACATTCCAATGTTGTCTTTCAAGAACTTCTGAAGATCAGGACATTTATCATACATTTTCACCAACACATATACCATTTAATGACTTGACTGACTGTCGAATGTTTAGTGTAGTCACTTGCCGGTGGAGGGGCATGACTTCCAGCACCACCCCGTAGAAGCGTTTCGAAGGCAGATGACCAATCTCCTTCAAACATTGATCTTTTGCTCGTACTTCTTGTAAGGAACTCTTACCCTCGATCAATCCAACACTTTTCACTCTACAGTCTCTCCAGCTTAGACTATCTGACAAAATGTCTTTTGCTTTCACGGATCAACAAGAACAATTAGGAGAATTTAGTCGCTAGCTTAACAACTGCCGTAAAGTGAAGAGGAGATTTTGTCCTTCTAGATTGTTATCGGTTAATCGATTATGTATGAATGAGCATCATTAAGAAGCATTCGGCTTTCTTTCAGGCCCAACCATTATTATCTCGAGTGGGACTAACATGCATGCGTAAACACATTTGTTAAAACGATGCTTTTTCATGCCACCATAATAAACCTAAAATGACCCCCTCGGTTACATTCATAAGAAAAGCTTTGCAGGTCCAGAGAAATTGAGCGAAAATTCCGGGGCCTCCATGACCAATAATTTGCAGTAGTGCTTTCCGAGTAGCATTCGGCTACTTCTCATGACATACGAAATTTAATCAAAATATCAGTTCATTTTCTCCACATTGTCTATGTATGTATCCTTTTCATTATATTAAACATATTGCGTGTATATATATTGAACACTTCTATGTCCAATTTGCAATAAATGCTTCTGAGAGCATAAGCAATAAATCCTTTTTTTTGTTTGAAATCAACAACACACAACAACAACAAAATCACCTCACACCTTTTCTTTTTAGGCAATGCGGGGATAAAAAAAGAATATTATTATTATTATTATATGCCTGAAATAGCAATGATTTTATGCTCACGGAATATTGTGAGATGGTTTTGCTTGAAAGTATGCTACTATGATCATGTGCTCGTTTTTCTTACTTTAGTTTAATCGGGTTAATGAAATTATGGCTCTAAACAAAAGTAGTAGAGCTTGAGGGACAAAAGGTGAGTAATTCGTGAAGTTCATATGCAACTACGTGGTCAGTATAAGCCATAGAAGGGCAATGTATAATAATATAGTGAATGTGTTTATTGGAGCAATGAGGTAACGATGAATGAACCTCAAAATTAATCTGAGAGCGCTAAGAAGTACAATTCCAAATGTTTGTCACGATCATTGAAACACATCGCGGGAGGTACGTTCATTCTGATTTTATATCTCATTATTTCAATGGGCACGTTTGACTGCTATCTTTTATTCGAAAGATAAGTAGAGCACAATATTCCTCAGAGCATGACATGGAAGAAAAACACCGTAGATTCACTCTGATGAACTAACAAATATAATGCTAAAACTCATGCAACGATGTTCCTGTTTGTGTTGTAGCAATTGCAAAATATACACGGTCCTGCCACCGTCAGGCGGAGGACAACGCTGATGCCAGTCTCCCTCTTCCTACGCGTGGCTGAATTATAAAGGAAGCGTTTTTTTTTTAATAAATAAACATAATGCAATTTTCTATTTAAAGAGTGTTTGATAATGTGAGAGGAATGACCATAAAAAGGCCTAGATTGGTTGTTTCTCTGAAATGTCCTTTTGATATTCCTTTATCATCTATAGGATGTGATATCTTTTTAAAGATCTGTGCAAAGATAATTACTTTTGTCATCATTGGAAGTCACTGATAAGCATGAAAATTGATACCAAACATCACTATTCAGTGGTTGTGTATTGACATGGATGTATATGTTAACATTTTCTTCTTCCTGCTGGTAATTCCTGTAAATGTTATATTCCAGATTTTAGTCGATAGTTAGTTATATTTTCTTCAAAAAATACTTGTGTAGGCCTACATAATTATATCGATCAGAGCTTCAGAAGTATATCACGAGATCACAGAAATATGTCCCTATAATAATGTGTGTCCGGAAATATTGCATGGTGTCCGAAACGTAGGTATAGACCTATCATTCTCATATCCCATTATGGAACTGTAGTATGATAACATTTTAATTCAACTGTAAATTGTTCACAAAGGCATTAACGGACTGAGAGTTTGTAGTGTCCGTGTTATCTATTTTGTAATGCAGAGAGGGCAGTTCTCCTGAATGTATTCAAGTGAAAGTGATAATAATTATATTAAAAGAACAAGAACAAGTATAAAGTACAATAACAAAAATATGTAAACGGGAGTGTCGTGGTCGAGTGGTTTAAGGCGCTTGACTAGAAATGCGAAGGTCGAGGGTTCGAATCCCGACACGGCACTGATATCCTTTGGCAAGATATTAACCTGCACTTGCTACTCTCAACCCAGGTGTTAAAAGGGTACCCGGTAGGATGCGACCGTCATTGTTGGTCAAACAGTTTTTGAGCGTCAAGAAAGGCCTGGCTGGAATGCTCCCCAGAGAGTGGAGATTGTGCACACAGTGTGTGCGGACAAGCACTGAATCCAATGACCGGGGTAATAATATATCTGTAAGGCGCTTAGAAACATTTGTATTAAGCGCTATATAAAAGCTAAATATTATTATTATTATTATTATTAATAATGATGCTAATATAATGGTTTCTGTTCCACTTCCCTGATTTTCATATCATGTTCGTTTCTAATAGCTTATTGGCATTTAAAAAAAAATGCCTTACGCTATTTAAAACAAATTAGCGCAGAATGTAATCATTGGCGTACCATGATTATTGAAAATGTATTTATACCAACATCTACATGTATATGCATGCTGCTAAATTCTGTTTCTGTCAGATCAATAGCAGCGGCCTACCTATTTTTTTTTAATCGAATTGAAACACTTTAGCCTTTTCTTTTATTGTTACTCATTGCTAAAGTCACAATATCAAGCGATCTGTGGGGTCTGTTTCATCCCATTACGATATCCATTGAGCGACATCACAGCTTTGTCAGAAAAGAAAATACTATATAGACCATCATTAATGGTACAATATTCCGAGTTCCAAACCATCGTGCTCATTTCATCTCCTTGCGTTTTGGCCTTTCAGGTATAAACTCAATGGATGAATAGAAAAAAAGTTTACAATCGAAATCCCAAAGATACGATTTTTACCACTGCGGAACGTGGGAAATGTTTAGCTCCAAAACCAATTAGTCATGGTACAATGATACAAATCGCGTACAGGTAAAATATTAAACTAATTCAACATGATAAACCGGCTTAAGGAAACCACTGCTTTAAATTAAAACCATCTTGGGTATACAATAATGATGTGGAAAGATTTTATAACAGGAGTTGTGAAAAAATTTGAGTAAAATCATTAGCTAAAATATCATAATACAGCTAGTTACAGCATCATTGTAACTGACATAGCATTTTTTTATAGAAAGAGTATTTTGGTGACCATTTTGATTTCTTAATAATCAGAAAATTACAGTGAATAGAGCAATTCGTTAATGGATTCCATGAATTCTCCCTAGGAAATGTTTCTATACACTGTTGCCTATAAAGTTGGAATATTTTGTTACCTCTTTTTATGAAGCGATTGTAAGAAAATGATTTTTCTTGATGGACAAGGTTTATATCTTCTCAGAACTTTATATATCAAGAATAAACAGTATTGTCACAATCATTTAATGAACAGAGGCAAGAAAATATATCCGAACCTTATGGGCAATAGTTTATATTTTAAGATGTTTCTTCATTTCGATTAGATGGCGAGTGAACATTTTCCGATAGTATTTATTCCCGGACTAGGTATTTATTCAAAGCAGGCTAGCTTTGCCTCTCTTCCATAGAACATCTTTCGTTCATTTCAACAAGTTTTGCATTCGAAAGAGTCACCTTTCTTTGTCACGTTAAAATCTCTTTATAACAAATATAGCCTACTTGATTTCCTTTCATTCCCCTACCCAGAGTTCAAGAAAGAATTTAGCCAGACCCTTGTCACTATCTCCAATAATACTTGAGGAGTAAAAAAAAATGATAACAACAACAAAAATCCGCATTAGATTCATGAAGAGGATGCTGAGATCAATGACGAAACAGCACGTAGCTCCTTTGTTCCCGATTCTTTTGTTGAAGACACTTATCTCAAATAAGAGGTTTGGAAATGTGAGACAGAGAGAGAAAAAGGAGAGAGGGGGAGAGGGAGGGGGAGGAGGAGGGGACAGGGGGAAATAGGGAGAGGAGGGGAGGAAGAGGAAGGAGAGAGAGCACGTCCGTGTGTGTTAATGTATGCGTGCGAGAGAGCGAGAGGGGGAACAACCCTGTTCGACATGTATAATTAATAAAAAATTAATGTTTGAATAATAATAATAATAATAACATCGACACGGTTTTGATCCTGGGGGCTCACAGTAATGAGGCCATTGCTTAGCCAATAAATCATGACTGTACGCAGCGGGCGCTAGGGTACGTCGACGCCCCCACAAAAACACAAAAATAAAGAAAATGCAATGAATTTTCAATAATTCATTGTATTTTGCCCCGATCCCCAACATAAAAAAAAAATTCTATGTGGGCATGTCTTGAACCATAATTCGTGGCTCTACAGAGGATTTTTTTTCCTATTGGGGACTGGGGGGAAATGCAATGAATTATTGAAAAATTATTGCATTTTCTTTGTTTTGTTTTTTGTTTTTGTGGGGGCGTCGACGTACCCTAGCGCCCGCTGCGTACAGTCATGATTCATTGGCTAAGCAATGGCCACATTACTGTGAGCCCCCAGGATCAAAACCGTGTCGATGTGCTATATTAGTGCCCTTTTATGAGGCATTAATCCCCATTACTGTCAGTTATGACTTAAGGACGTAGGTCCCCTAGTTGATTAGCATTGTAGCACACACCTGCTTTAGCATTCACGCAAAACAAACACTCCCCAATTGTCATTCAATAAAATCTGAGAATGTATACTATTATCTAGATCTATTAGGAATAAATCATTGTCAAAATCATTCAATAAATTTGGGGATAAAATAATTATTCCACCATTATGACCGACAGTGTAAATACATTTTTGGGGGACATGAAAAGGAACAGAATAATCTCAATGATTACAATTATATTAGCAATGTTTTAACATAAACAGTTATTCCAGAAATATATAGAGTATATTTAGGTGAAACCACCACCCCCCCCTTCGCACACGCACACACACATTCACCCTCACACGCAGTCATTCTACAGCTTATATACATCCCATCCAGACATTTACTTAAATGTACACGACACAATTTGGTTTGGGTAAACAGGTATTTGTTAATGTTTTCTTATGAAATTGTTTCTTTAATAATTCACCATCACGCATTGCTTCCATAAATAATACATCAATATGAAACCATTATTGTATAAATTAAGAAATAATGAAATATCAATTGCAATAATTTTGCATATTAATAATGCGATGTCCCAACTGCTTTAGCAACCATCTACCGTTCTCTTCTCATGCCCCTAAACTAAATAACTAAATAAGTAGAAAATACACGTTGAAAGTTAAATTAGATCAAATCACAATTATTGCAAGTATATCCACGAAAAAGCCCACTAAACTACATTCTACAATTTGAGAAACCCTTTAACAAACAACTCTTTCGCAAGATCGACTCTGACTAAGACAAATAGTGTTTGCATTAAAATAGATTGACATTATAATAAAATCATAAAACCTCCTTTCCCTATATAGTATTTTGTAATTTTGATAAAAGAGTATGCATACATTTCCTGTAATATTACTTGAAAGAGGGGCGTCTAAATGACAATAACGAAATTTAAAATATCCCGGTCAGTACAAAACTCAATGTCTTCTTACTGACTACGGCATGTTTTAAACACATTCTACACTGTAGTTTTATTGCTTAACCATCTTTGATTGTCGATGCTTGTCACTGGTGCGGTTGTTTTATTCAGCAAGTGACAGAAGGCCAAAAAGGTCACAGGGATTTCATACACCCCCCCCCCCCTCTTCTTCGTATTCTTCTTCTTCCAAGTAACTTCAAGAGACGCATAGGCAAAGGTTAATCCCTTGTCCTTACTTTGCATTTATGCCCTTTTACTACATCTTGGTTTTGAAAGAGTATTGATATTAAAAATACTTCCCCCTTTCCGTTATATCCCCTTTTCTATTTTCCCCCTTTTTCCGCTATTCGTTTGAGGGGAGGCACTTCCCCCTTGCCCCTGTAACTTTATCACTGATATACATATTTGCAATGGTCTCAAAAAAGAATGATAATTTTCCATGTAGATAGTTAACAGGATTTGAAATGTTATTTCGTTCTTTCTAATGAAATTACAGCTTCTCTATAAAGTTGAAACGTACTATTTTCAGGTGAACACCAAAGTTGAATTCAGCATCAATCTTTATATTCTTAAATAAGATACATAAGTGATTTTAAAGCGATTTTATTAGTATTATTTCACGGTGTAGAAAAGGAAATAATTTATTAAACGTTTGACAACCTCAACATTGTTTGCGCTTTTACTAAATGCGGGTAGAAACGTAATGTAATTGCTTACAAATGATTTTACACAGAACTATATATCAATCTGTATTTCGTTTCTTGTCTTTCTGTTTGAATTAAAGAGAAGCTTGAGTTCTGGTAATGATAACAATATAATGTGTGTGCTTTCTCTCATTCTGTGTATGTCATTTTGAAAGAATATCGTAGAAATGTCGCCTGAAAACTTCTTCATGATGAGAAATAGCTGAATAGCTTGAATCAAGCATAACCAGTTTGTGATTTTCAGCAAAATCCAGTCAATGTCCTTCGTCTTTATCATTCCAAAACCTCACTGTTGTAGTACATAAACAACTTTTTCAAATTGCTTCCAGACAATTTCTTTCGCAATGTAATCGCCAAACTCGTACTCAACTTTATCCACATAAATATTTTTGCTGAATTTAAAGATTTCTATGATATTTTTCTCAAATTTTTCTTGTTGAAGTTGACGTATCGTATTATTATCAAAGATAGACATGGGCACTGTCCAATACAGAGTTGATATTAATCCCAACTATGTACATAGATATAGGGGACTGCAAACTTGTGATTGATTAGAGGACTTGTGAGGACTTGCGATTGATTTAGGATCAATCGCAACTCTTTATACGACGGAACCCAGATTTCTAGTTATGAAACTGAATTTCATAAACTTATATGAATTTTTTAACGGCTCATGTTCAAATAAAGCTTACAACAAACAACAAATAAAATATATTTTTTAAAACCTGATGGAAATAACAATCAGAAAAAAAGAGTTGTGCACATGTGGCATCACCTGTTCTCGGACCCGTTGCAGAGAAGGCGTCGTTAGGGACTTTTAGATTGAGTGGACGCGAACGTCGTGAACGTTCACTGATCATGCGTGTCCATGGCAAGCCGTTTTAACATTTATTCCTATTTCTTGATATCAAGAATCGGATTATTGATATCAAGAAATGATTTTCTGTTGTAAAGCAATGGTAGTTCTTGATATCAAGAAATATGAATAAATGTTAAAACGGCTTGCCGTAGACACGCATGATCAGTGGACGTTCATGCCGTTCTCGTCCACTCAATCTAAAAGTCCCTAATAGGAACTTTTAGATTTGCGTGGACTGCTACGTGTGACGTCCTTTTAAGGCAGTGCTTAAAGGGATGTCACACGTAGCAGTTCACGTTGTCGCCGTGTAAATCTAAAAGTCTCTATTTGCCTATGGACTGCATCCGGGACTGCATCAGGGGCTGCCAAGGTGTCGTCTAGCTTTGATGCACCATGTGAGCATTATTTCGTACAAAAAGGGATTTAGTTTGTTCTTCTGAAACTTTAGTTTTCGTCATTACCAGAACTCAAGATTTAATTCAAGGCTATAAACATTCTCGAGTGGCTTAGTAAAAAAGCAATATAAAACGGACTCTATAACAACAAAATCCATTGATATTCACCTGTGAATAAACTATCAGTGCCCACTTCCCGTTCCCGCGCATACGCTTCCCGTACATCAGAATAATAGATAGCGTAATGTTTTGATCAATCTTTAATTATGCCGATTCTACGTCCAAAACCTTTTACAATGACAATGAACTTCTTCATGATGAGGGCAATACACATGGATGTCACTGCCATACCAATCATTGTATACACACAGCACGCGATTAAGCTAGACAGTTTAGTATCTGGTACTAAATCACCGAAGCCAATTGTAGTTAATGTGATGAAACAGAAATAGAATGCGTCGAAGAAATCCCAGTTGGTTTCTAACATAGAGAATAAAATGGCACCGGAGGTTATGTAACTGAATAGAAGGAGTAAAACAGGCCACATAGGAATATCAGATATCTCAAGATTCCTAGCATCCCGTCCTTCGCTTGTGTCAGACTCACTACCTTCATAGATTGTTCCTAATTCCTCATCGATTGGATCACTTCGACGACCTTTCTTTTTCCGTTTACCCTTTCCCTTTCGACCACCTTCACGTATCGGCTCAGATTCTGGTTGAGCAGGCGGTGGCCGAGGATCGAAACCTTTATTCGCGATGTCGTTAAGGAGCTTGGTATTCTCCCCACATGATAGCTCTGGTAGAGCAAAGGCCAAGTCCTCTCGACTACTACCAAGGATCTTATCATAAGTAGCTAAACGTATTGCAAGAGTAGCGTCTATAAGCTTCAGTTTCCTATGATGATGTAATGAATAAAGACTGGGTGGTTTCATTAGAGTCTTTTTGCGTGCTCTTCGTCTCTTTGGAAAAGTGTTACCATGTCTATGATTGACTCCTAGTGTCGACCTTTCAATAGAGGCACTGCCTTCACTATAAGCATAGTCCCCTCGTCGTTTCCTACGTTTCTCTGCTCGCGGGTAGGTTTGTGACGCTGACGGACTATACCTTGACGCCGATGAGCTTTGCCTTGATATACTCTTCTGTTCTGAAGATGTTCGGCTCGCATCTCCTTCACTCCCATCTCCATCTTTCCTCTCCTCCCCCTCGCTTCCTTTATCGAACTGACGGAATTCAATACACGACTGTTGTCGAGGGAAAGACGAACGATTTTGTTTCCCGCTACCCTGCAGCTCTACGCTTGACTCTGCACGACTGGTTGTCGGGAATGGCTGCGAGCTGGCGGAACCGTAACTATCGCTCTTTGCTAGCGATGGCGATCTCCTATCCATCTCTGATGCAGTGCACAGTGACGTGACGTCGCTCTGGACATCGTCGACCGATCCTTGTTCCAACTCTTCACTGATAGGACGTGGAAGATTGATCAAGGATTGTTGACGTGGTGAACTGCCAAGACTACGTCGAGAGCCCTGTGTATCAGAAAAGACATCCTCCTCTTCATCGTTACCTCCAGCTAGTCTCTCAGCCATCTCATTCGATTCTGCGTATGGGGGTGGTAATCTAGGATCACTTGAGGATACTATATCCATGTTGAGGGACAGAGGACGTTGGCTGGTCAGTTTGGTCTGATTGTCCATGTTAACGATGGTTTGACGAGGCGGCTGAGAACTCTTCTTTGGACCTTTTTTGGATCCCTTTCGGACATTCTTCTTGCTTGGGGCGCCCTTTGCTGATTTGGTGCTTCCTGCGTTTTGGAACGGAAGAAAGAAAGAAGAAAAATCAGTTTAACAAAAACAATAATAAAATGCGTACACTGATACATCTAGGGAGAAAATGGCCGAAGAATTACGGATTCAGTCATAATGCAACACATATCAACACTGCACTGTTGATATTGGTAACATTGCAATGGCTACACTTGACTAATTGTGTGTTGAAAATTATTCTGTGTTAGAGAATGGGTTAATGTTACGACCATGACGTCAAATAATTTTGTTTTCTTCATTTCATTTATTTTCATATTTCTCATGTTACAAATACATTTCAAAATAAAGTTGTTATTTGTGTGATACAATAACAATCAATAATACATAATAAATAACATAAAGATAGGTGGTCAATTATAGAGTACTGATTTAACTGAGAGACCTACATGAAAGCAAGCTTGTAAAGATGTAGGCCCCATTGAAATAGTATGTGGTAATGAATGGAGGACGGATATAAATACTGACCAATCCAAATGAATTAAACAAAAAAAGAAGGGATAGAATTAAGAAACATGCGGTGGCGCTGTTTATATTGCCCCTCCCTATTTTAACATGTAGACAAAAGTACACGTAATTAATTATTGTACAATTATTGTAAAAGTGAAACAAAATTCTCGAGATAAGAGATTCCACCTCGGAAAAATCTTAGGAGAAGAGGGTAGCCTTTAAAATATGAATGGAAATCGATCATAATGTCGTAAGGAACTAAGAAGAGATGATGTCGAAATTATATCTCAAGGAAGAAATGATAGTTTGCGATAATTATTAATAGCGAAACAAATAGGATGAGGAAGTTGCCCCATCCCGAATAATAAGACCTTATATTTTGCAATATAAAACACCTGCATTCTAGCGATGCACCTTAATCGTAGGCTTAAATATTATTCTGCTAAGTCGCGTAGCAACTGAGCGAGAAAAAAACTTCAGTTTTTAATATTGAAACCTTGAATTCTAGGGCAATGCAGAGTCTTTACACTATTTCAGCCATCATCTATTATTTCCTTTATTTGTGTGCTCTTTTGTCGAAAGGGGTTGGGATGGGGGCACCCCCCCCCCCCCCCATATCACTCGGGATCGCCACCTTTGGGCACATTCTGTTTCATAGCAAATGTGAGCCCATTAAAATGCCGTTTAAAGTGACTCGGTAACATTGTTGAGTGTTGATGAAAAAACTGCGTCATTTTTCTATGAAATGTTACTTTTTATATTCTTTTTACTGTACTAATCCTCTATGTTAAACCACAAAGATATTTATACTTTTCTTTGAAGGCATCATTGTGCGACATCCTCTAACAGTAAATTCTCCCAACCAATCTTGAATTTTCTTAACCATTCTTCCATGGGAATTATAAGACAGGCTTTAAACAAATCTGTCAACACTTAAATGTCTGGAATGCCATATAGAGCCAATTCATTGATTTGTGGCGATTTAAATTCACCTAGCATTTAATTAAATTATGATAATATAATTGGAAGGATTCAGAAATCAATCAGATCAGTTTTTCCCAATTTTTATCATTAATAATAATCTGTTTTTACCTAAATCTTCAGATTATCTTTAATTGTACATGTAGCTTTGAAGTCGCTACCTTAGTTCAATTTCTCTCATCTGAGCAATGTTACCAAGTCCATTTAATCTTCGGCTCACTGGCTCGATTACACTTCCCTTCCCCTGTCCCGAATATTAATAATAATAATAATAATAATAAACGAAGCTGGTCTCGCTAATTCCATGACGCTGATATGTTTACCAGGTCTCTTTACTCCAATGATAATATTCGATTGCCTCGATTGCAATCATTATCAAGACTTGATATTCGGACTTTTTTTAAATTGGGAATACAAACTGAACAACAAAACATAGAGAGTGGAGAGATGAAAACAGAAAGAGAAAGAGATAGAGAGATAGAGAGAGAGAGAGAGAAGAGAGAAAGAGAGAGAGAGAGCGAGAGAGAGAGAGAGAGAGAGAGAGAGAGAGAGGGGGGATTTGTAGTTGGGGAACAGTAAGTCATTGGAAACAACTCAGTGTAGAAATACCTTTTCGCTGTAAAGTTTTCTTGGCTTGTTTTTTCCTCTTCTTTTTCTTTTTGGTTTTGCTACGCTTTCCACAACGAACTCTCTTACAGAGACGACTGGTGTACATTCTGTAGAGAAGCCGGGCTGAAGTCGCCATCACTCGGCCAACATTGGTCAGGACTAGAAGCATGAGAGGAATACCAAGTAGGGCGTAGAACATACAGAATAGTTTGCCTATAATCGTCAGCGGTGCAACATGACCATAACCTGCAGAATGGTAAACAGAAAATGATGGGGTCAATCAATGATTTGATCATTATTATACGTATCAAAAAAACTGTGTTGTATATATTAGGAATAATCAAGTGCAAACTAACAGTAATGACCACATTTATTCAATATTCACAATATGTTTTCTTTCCTTTTTTCTAATTGTGTTTGTTTTCTTTGTTTGTTTTTTGTTGCTGCTTACTTCTCATTATGTAGAGCTCGGCTGCTGAAGTCAACCATGTTAAACTTAGATTTGTTATGATAATAACTAACGTGTGCAAACAATTTCGAATGCTTTTGGAGAAACTTATCAAGGGAAGTGTAGTGATTGAAAAGAGAGAATGCTTCTTTAACCAGATTTAGCATGTTTAATTGTATATCAACATGACGTGTTATCGACCAATTTTCTTTCTCCTATCATTTCTTATATCTGCTTTAAATCTGGCAGAATCAATCTTATTAGCCCCTCTAAAATGTATGGTTTGCAAACAGGTAACCCTGCCATTGAAATGTAAACAACATGCTTAAGGTGGAATAAATCATAACGCAATTCAACTATGAATGGAATATGAAATGAGCATACATTCAACATTTTAAGAAGATCAAGCAGTTTTCCAACGCTGGAAGTTCACATTAATGTTACTCTAAATGTGTTGAATTAAGATGGACATGTACCATCATTTTATAGTTTATATTTTCACGATATTTAATATCCACGATAATTATCATTCGCTATAGAGAGGCCCTCGTATTTCTAGACATGATGAAGCGCGAAAAAAATTCACCAAAAATTATTTATCCGGCCTAATAATCCTCCTCCATTCCTCCCACGGCCAGCACCGACAAGAGATAGTGAGAAATGGGCATGGGCAATTTTGTTCTATCTTCTAATTGGGTGAAAGAAGAGCATGGAACGATGTAGGTTCATATAATTGACCTAATTAACAATGAGTAATCAGTAATACATGATACATCCAAGTTTGCTAATAAGAAAGCATTGCTTGAACTGAAGCCTTTTTAATGCAGATGAATCTGAGAGATGAGATGAAATGTAAATGTATTACAACTATCCCCGTGAAATTCATAGTATATTTTCTAACGGCTAATACTGGTATGACGTAACCAGGACACAAGACCGCGGTGTTATATGCGACAAAATTAATCCAGGACCCTTGAGCATCCACTATAAGAGTTGGGGTCTGCTGGCATAGATGGGTCGGAGTCTTCATAGTCTGATATTCTCAGCTTGTTAGACTTTGTTTAACTTGTAGGCTTAAACATTCAACCCTTAGCAGACCCATTCAAGAATAGCTGTTATGTTCCTGGGCAGCAAGATAACCTTAGTGGTAAATGGTGAGTGCTAGTGACATCATTGGCCTACGAGGCTGCATCCTTCCATGGACCTTTTTTACCCCTCCCCACACCCCGCCCCGAATTTTCAAACCCCCACCCTTTTTTACCCCTCCCCATACCCTGCCCCGAATTTTCAAACCACCAATATTTCGACAAACCGTTATCTCATATTCGGCAACGAGGTTGTCTCCAGTATTTTAAATACACTGCCTAACGTTACAGATCAAATTACACCCACAAATGGTTTTAAAAACACCACTAGTCGCTGGAAAGCTGATATTTGGGCAAAATGATGGCAGCCTATACCCTCCTTTTCCATGCCCGCCTATAGTTATAATGATGATGATGATAGAATCAGATAAAGTTTTTAAAAATATAGGCAAAAATAACTTTGGACAGTTGAGAAATTGTCATTTGTTTTTTCATAAAAATAACAAAACACCTGCCTTTATTCCTGCTTGAAGATGACACTCGCTTAGGCATAAAATCAATCAAAGTAAAACATCATAGACAACAGTCAAAAGGCCTGAATGATAATTACCAAAATGAAACAAACAAGCAGTAGCCAGACATGGCATGCCTGCTTCTGAGAATATCCAGATGTAGTGAGGGAAAATCAGCAATTGTCGTGTTTATTATTTTAATCGTCGCATAAAGTTGATGCTCACCGTAAATAAGGACCATTACAACTCATATCGTGTATACAAAGTGTTGACATTGCTATAAACCGCCCACAATAAAATGGTGAATATTTCTGTTCCTCTGTTCTTATTCCTGATCCTATCTATTGCCAAACTTGCTATATTTATCTTTATGACACAGAGTCATGAACATGCAAATTGCTCGATGAAAAGTTTATGAAATGCTCGTTGAAGGTGATCGAGGCACTAGAATGAATTTAAACATTTTCATAATTTCCCTGGTCACTTGATTTTAAGACAGCAGTTGAGCGTGCACCATCTCCATCCCAGTGAGTATTACTCTCATGCATGCTTGCATTCAGGAAAGACAAACACATTGCTTTACTACAATGCTCACCAACTATCTCTTGGGTAAGACTGGCAATGTAATGTTTCCCCCAAAGGATGTTAGTAGTCCCGCGGCTGGAAATCGAACCTAGGACCATCCATATCATCCATAACCCAGTGACTTAGCCCCAACATCACCACAACCCTTTACATTTTGAGGTTTTTTAGATAACTTTTGACAACTATTATTATGACTCAGTATACGTTTGAAATAATACCGTGGATAAAATAAACAGACCATTTAAGAGGATAAATTTCAGTTTACTCGATATTGCTCTGGAAATGCATAAAAGTAGTACAACTTTTTCGACAATCAAAATATGAAATGGACACTGACATTTTTTTTTTTTTTTTTTTTTTTTTTTTGGGGGGGGGGTTCGGGTGTTCTCGCATTCATTTTCTACGCGTGCTTTTATATTTTGTTCTAATAATATATAAGGGAGGGATAGCTCCCCGCTCTTGCGGCCAACAGATGGATGCTTGGCTGGGTGTAGCAGCTTGGTTTTGTCATGGACTGAAACAGTCAACATTTATGAGCTTTTCATTCAAGAAAATCAAGGTAATCGAGACAACAAACGAATAAAATAGTTTGTTGATTATTAATAAATAAATAAAAGCGTTTATGCTATCAAATTCGCATCGTTGGTGCAACGCAAATGCTCAAAAGCATCGAAGCTTGATTTCATTCACTAAGACCACAGATACCCGTATTTATACTTGAGCAGCAAGAAGGGCAGGAAACCACTATCATGATTATAGAACTGGTTTGCTAACAAACAAAAATAGGTATACGCCATAGTCTGGCTATGAGACTGGGGCTTATATTCGAGAGCTACGAAAGTCAAACTATATCAATGCTTACTTCTAAAGGCTGTCTAGTCCGTTATACATGTAACGCTAGAGGCTGAGTTCGAAGAATACATACAGGTAAGCGAGGTGTTGATTTCATCGTCACTCTCCTCCATGTCTCGTGATATTTCATATAAGCGAACATAATCAAGATTCCCGCTCGTGATAAATAAAAGGATCACCCCGGTTCTTTTCTTTTCTCTCTCACTAAATGTCAGACACATTACCCTAATTCCAGGCACCTCCCTATAAGGTATTTGCGCAAACTTCAAATGCACTCCTAAGCAGTTAAATGGAGTAATATGTCTGGACCCGTAACCTAGGCCTCTACTCGCGTTCTCTGTCCCGGTTTCAATTTCATACGCGCTTCTATACTCATTTCAAAAGGAAATGGTTTGATACCGCCTGCGACGAGGAGTGAGAAGGAGAGAGAATGAGAGAGAAGGAGAATGCAAGAGAGGAAAGAAAGAAATATATAGAGAGAGAGAGAGAGAGAGAGAGAGAGAGAAAGAGAGGAAGGAGATAGAAAGAGAGCGAATGGGAGAAAAAGAGAGAGTGAGAAAGCGTGTGTGTGTGTGTGTGTGTGTGAGAGAGAGAGAGAGAGAGGGGGGAAGGGGGCAGGAGGCAGGGGGCAGGGTGGAGGGGTGGAGGGGTCACATGTCTCAAGTGCCTTGCCGTAGACTTGAGTCCGCTTTACTATTCACACCTGTGGGAGAGGGAGGATAATTACTCTATTCACTTTCTCACATCAGAAGAGGGGGAGAGAGAGAGAACGAAATGGAAACCGTGCACATTACTTTGAGAAGATTCAATAGCTTCTCGATAAACATAATATAGGCCTAATTATAAAATATCAACATGATACCAAATATAAAGGTCTAAAATGAGCCTGTTCTTGCTCGACAAAAAACAAAAAACAAACGAAACAACAACATGATGAACAATGAAAATATAAACTATATTTTACCGATTTTATTAAGAAAGAAGTGGAGCTGGAGCAATGGATCATGTTGGAGAGCTTTATCAAACCTACTTCTTAATTCGCAGGTCTATGTATTTCGTTATTTTTAGTACGTAACAAAATAATTATGTTACTTCTGCATTAACTATTCCTTCTTTATATATATTACCCACAAATTTTATGATATTAAGTTTAAAATGTTAAAAACATATCCTACTGTCGTTTTTATTATCATCTCGTTATTTTCACATAACATCAAACTTAATAAACTGTAAATCTGTCGGGTCATAATAGGTGCACAACGCATAGCCAGTCAAATTAAGGAATTGCAATCTTCTAAAATATCAATTTCATGAAATTGCACAGGGCATTTACAGAATCATATTTTTCTCATGATGCTTTCTCTTACCACAATTTCCAATGTATTGCGTACCTTTAACGAAATGCCACCCTCGCATCCAGCATTCTTTATGTGCTCTAGTTTGTCATCACCTCGTAATGTCATGGTCAATTCATATGGTGTGGAGGTTGTGCTTCTATCATGTTTCTATTCATGCTTCTTTATACATTACCACATTCACGCCTGATAAACTATACTCTTCCACTTCCAGCATGATCTTCCTACTGCCCCATACCACGATTATTTTGTCGCACATACTTCCTGGTTATAGTCTTACATTATTTGGACCCACGTTATATCATTGGTATTGGTTAGTATTCCGTTATTAAGACGAATGCAAGGCAGTAGCATTGTAGATAACACTAGGACCCTGATTAATAAAATGATCTGGCCAGAATTAATGAGATGCGTTATACCTGTCCACCAGTCATTTCCACGTTATTATATACGCCATTACACTCCCATCTCTCTCTCTCTCTCTTTCTCTCTCTC